AAAGGTCTCTTTTATAGAACCCGTGGGTATCTATGTGGATACGAAGAGATGGAGATACTTCCCGCGCATGCAATTAACGGGGCTCCGGTACCGTCATTATTAGATTCCGCTACACGCGTGGTCTCCTTTTGCCCTCTTCGTTCCCCCATTTTTAAACCCCCCACGAGTGCTCCCATTATACAGGCTCGAGAACGTTGAAGACAAAGACCGAAAATCTATTGTTTATTTATCTAGAGATTGTTCCAATTAAAATTTTGATTCTACAAGTAGGATGTAGAATGGGATGATTAGATTTAAATTGATGTTAATATTAAATAGGAAGATTCGTCGAGTGTACTTGAAGAAGATCCCCAACTGGATGGCAATTGGGAAAGGTCATGGAACTTATTTATACAAAGATAAACGCGACTCCGATTCTCATCCCGATGAGCAAACACCGGCTGCAAACCGTAACTTCTTCGTCTTCGTCGAACTGTGAATGTCGTTACGGTATCCAAACTCGGAACCATTGTTCGAAAGTTTGTTTGAAGAAGCGATCCTCCGGGTATCTGGTGTCATAATGCTCGCTTTTTGAATTAGAACAATACAAAACGTTTTGTGTATTTCAAGACTCACTTTAACCAACAACATTTTTATTATTACACTTATTAAAAGACGTTTATGGTAATTTTTTTCTTTTTATTTGTAATAAACACGTGAGAAATCGTTAGTATCTTACACAACATGATGACGACACGACGCCGATTCTTATGCAATGCGTCTAAAACGAATCTGATACACACAGCAACATCGAGTACAGGAACGGATTAGAATTTATCGACGGCGGATTCGAAAGGCATAAATACGACAACTACACGAGTGGATTTAACCTTGTTTGGAACAATGAAGGAAAAAGCGCGAGATACGTTCATTAGGCGTTATAAAACGTTTTGACCGCTCGTATAACGCTTTAAAGCACTGTACGCCAACGATTTTAAACTTTATCTTCGTTTAATTGTTTTTGCGTCTAGCGAGAAACAATTTACAGATAATCAGCATTACGGACGCCAAGAGAATAATTTTTTTAAGCGTTTTAATTGATTGATTAGGTTTATGTTTTTGCTTCGGTATTAATTGCTTTGTATACATGTTGTGTTAATTGAACATGAGATTATTTATAGATTTTATAGTTTTATTTTACAATTTTTATTTATCTTGTAGCGGAAATATTTAAAAAAAAATATTTAGTTGAAACCCATTGTTTAAGTCACGTACAATCTTAACAATCAAAGCTACTTTATGAGTCTGTGTAAGACGAGGTCTGCACACGCAAACTCTTTGAGGTCACGTTTAGATGTGTTAGTCAATTTAATATTATAGAGTTGCCATTGAAAATATGGTGTACAGTGTTGGCCAAAAAGTCATAAACACCTTGCTTTTCTTTTTTTTTAGTTCCATTGCACCTACGCTCTAAAATTTTGTTTATATGGGACGTTTGCGGCCGAGGTTCAGTGTTAAATATTATGAATGAAATTATCATATTGTGATTTTGTGTTGCTGATTTTTTGATGGATTCTGTACATTAAAATTAAAAGTAACACAAAATTTGATACATTGAAAAAGCTGTTTTTAAACTTGCGGTTTTTATTTATGAAATCAAACACCATTTTTTAACTCATTAAATTTAGTTATAAAGTGTAATACAACCTTAACCTTATTTTTAAACCAACTTCCGCACAAATCTATAATTATTCCAAACGATTAAGTCTGTCCTCAATTTTCATTACACACTGTGTATTTACTCATATTTCTTGTATCCGATTAAATACCGGTTGCAAACAAATTCGCAAATAGCTACCTACGCTTATTCACATAGTAATAGTAATAAGAGGCTCATTGAGCGGTCATTGTAGCTCGATATATAAGCAAGGTGTAGTATCATTTGCATCCGATTGTGACCAATTAGCCATGCTTAATTTATCGCCAATTAATTGTAATACGGTCTTCGTTTAAAAGGCGCTGCGGTACAACCGTTTATAAGAGTTATGAACCGTCAGATTCGAAACGCGATGACTAATAAGATTTATCTCGTTGTAGTGCGGTTAGTTCTTTAAAGAGACGTTGTTTGTTAGTCATCTTTATACGGTTAGCCAATATACACGAGATTTACAGTTATAAGAAACTATTACGATTGAATCATTGAACGTTTAAAGAGTGAATTATTACAAAGTAGTTTATAGATTGTGTATAACATTTTTCACGTGTCAATTTATTGTTTTCAAGATTTGCTTGTTGAGCTTCTGAGGTTGTATGATTTGGGGTAGTCTGTGGTAAAATCTCGAGGGAGTTTCAATTCAAGTTCGAACATGTTCGGGGGCGTATGTTTACGGTTGCATCCGAGGGGGTTGCTATAGAAACCGTAGGCTCAGTCGGGGGCCCCAAATGATTCTCGTACAAAATTGCTATTGAAACGAACGAAATTCATTGCAATTGCTTGCTCAGGTGTAAATAAAGGCAATGATTAAAAACGTCCAATTTCAAGCATTTCCTTTCGATTCATCAATTTAATAAGCGAGTAATTTTTAACGTTTATTTCTAACCAGTCGTTTTAAAATATTATTGTAATTTGCTATTACTACGAAATTACTTAATCAAATTATGTTGCTGTACGTTAAAGGCATTTAATATATTACTATACTCAGTTTCGTTACTCGTTGTTACCCTTTGAACAGGAAAATTTTTGCTTCTTGAACAGAAAAGTGTATTACGTTGACTTTTTTGTCGACTTCGAGGTAAATAATCACTCGCGTATGCATTTCAGAACTACGTTTGTTTATGGCTACTTTTTCCAGATTCATCGTTCCAGGAATAAAGATTGTAATTAAATGCATTTCTACAATCAAATTCATGATCAAGGTATCGTCTGGGACATTGCTGAAAAATATGTGATTGCAGCTGATTAAACCAAGGTCGCTTGCGGCCGAGGCTTTACAATTAATACCGTAACAACCCAAAATTGGCAAATAAATCGTACATCTCGGCTAATATGATACAAAGGATGATTATAATTATAGGCGATAATATTGTATCCTTGTTGAACCGTTTTATTAATTTAGGCCCACTTTTACCACTTCTTGATACATTTATCCGATAGATAAATCCAGCTCTTAGCCAATGAAAGCGCTTAAAACCGCCGTAACCATGGCAACTATCCTCTAGAACTCTAGATAGTTTATCAGGAGGATGGTAAAAGTGGGCCTTATAAAAATAAATTTATAAATTATGGATAAATTTTTTTTACATAAGTGTTTATGAACTGTTAAGGTGATTTGATGATTCTAAAACATTGTCGATAGGGGTAGGTACACACTGTCTGTGTGTGTGGGTAATAAATTATTCAACGGGCAATTTATGCGCGAGACACACAAGCGGAAAACGATTTCTTTATGGGGTTTTGAACGCTGCCCACATTTAGTAGGTCGAGAAACTCTCGCGACGTTTAAAAAAGTTGGAGAGTGAGATTTATGGAGTTGAACTCGTAAATTTTACACCAAAAACAATTTGCAGACATATAATATTACAAAACAATCCGAATCGAACCATATTTTTAAGTTTTCGACCATTTTTAAGTTTATAAAACATTCAAAACACTCTTTGTCTGCGAATTTATGGTAAGAACAGAATTTTCAATATATTCCCAAAGCGTTCCCAAGGCGCATATTTTCACGTCCTTTTAAACTGGAAGATAGGAGGTTAATACATAAATTTTCCCATATAAGCACAATCTTAAGTTCGAGAGTATAGTTCCTGGTGAACTTTTCATTATGGTATTTAGAAAGTTGATTTGTGAATAAATTTCATCATCGATTTATAAATATCTTCTTCTGTTAAATGCAAAACTATTCCTTTCAACATGAATTACTTTTTAGAAGTATTATTTATTAGTAAGGATAGATACGATCACATTTCCGCGGCACTTTTACAAACATGCAAATTTCCATTTGTTTACAAACTGAAGCCCACATATTATGTAAATTAGTCATTAGAGTTTCATCGTCACGCGCCGTATCGACATCAACGACGGCGCTTAGATAATGGATTTCTACGCACGTTCTTTCTTCTTTACATTGATTACTTATCCGCTCGATTTTTAATTAGATAAGGAAAAAGAGAGACAAACTTCTCGAACTACAAACGACCTAGAGCGTACATTAACTATTTCCCGTGTGGAAAGTTGCACATTATTCAAATTAAATTCTCGCACCGTGCATCAACTGGTAATAACAGGATATATCGAGAAAGATCTCCTTGATTTGGTTTTATTTTCTAGCATTACGCTCAATTATCATTAAATTACGCGAAGTAATATAAAACAAAATAAGTACCTAGTTATTAAATTTTTAGTCAAGTTTTATTTTGTTGATTTCTTTTAGTTAACCTCGGGAGTCGTGAATAAAAAAAAATGTCGAAAATAGGACATATCAGATAAGCGCGGTTACGTCACTCAAACTGGAATAAATTTGTGTTTATACACAGTTGCAAAAGTCACGTGCGTTCTTTATGCGTAAATTTTGTTAAAATGTTAAATTGCCAATTTTGTTTCAATAATAAATCACAAACGGGCGACGTTTTTACCATTTTATTATGAAGGAATGAAATAACCGAGTTTGCTCATGTCGCTGACGAATGCCTTCAACCTCGATTTATTCACAACTTTTTACAACCTTTAAACGTACTCGATTGCTAAGAATTTTACCGAGTTGAATGACTCATTTTATATTTTAAGCGTATTACGATAATAATTTCCATATTCAATGAGACTTAAATGGTTTTTATATCGATATAAAAAATTCCATTCTAAATAAGTCAAACAGTGTTGGTGAATTATGTTGATTATATCCTCATTTGGTATTGATTATAAAAATATTTTAGGAAGCTTATTGGAAACGAAACCTATTTTTTGCTGCGTGGTACTTCTTGAACTTTAAAGTCCACTCATATTTGTTTAATTTCTTTTCTAGGTATGGAAGCTTTAGAAACAAGTATAAACTATTGGGAGGATGCTTTAGCAGCTTATACCCGATTATCAGAATCTGGAGGTCCCTTAGCAGTTTTAGGCCCTGAAGAAGCAGGATTTTGTAGGGATCTTCAACAATTACTCGACTCCGCTTTGGAACTTCAAGAACGCTCAGAAATGTTGTTTTTAGACGAACGATCCGTTTTATTTCAAACTGGAAGTGCTACTTTACACGGGGACGACGAATTGGGGGAAATGTCTGGTGCTGAAAGTTTTGCGTCAGCTCAAGATCAGGTGAAAAATAAAATTTTAATTTTGTCGTTGTCGTATTGTTGGTTGACATCTATAAAAATGAAATTGTCAAATTTGACAATGTATGTTGCCATGTGTCAAATGGTGTTTCGTCCCAAAACGTTGATAAATTTTCGTGATTAGTGACGAAAAAAATACTGTTAAAAAAAAGCTAACAATATGTGACCAAAATCGTCTTGTAATTCTTTTATAAAGATTGAGTAAAAAAGTTATACTTAAAAAAAATAAAGTAAAAAAATGTAATAAGGTAATAAAGAAGAAATGAAAGTAAAAAGACAAGTAAAAAGACGAGCTAAGGTATTAGTAAATTTAAAAATGATAAAAATAATAAAATTGAAATTTAATTAAGCCTTTAAATTTGTTTTTAGGTAGCAGATTTAAGGGAATTTGAAGAATTTACCGAAATATTCCCCGACTTAGAATCGTTACCGTTATATCAAGCTGCTCTTCGCCAATTGGAAAACGGTGGTATTCCATGCAGAACTTTAAGAACAGACGTTGTAAAGTGCGGTTCAGATTGCGAATATTTAGCAAAACTTCATTGCGTCCGATTAGGTTTTCAACATCTCCTCAGAGAACCCTCAAATTACGCCTATTTCGTAGACGCAGGAAGACAAATCTTAGCAGACCTCCTTCTTTACGCCGATAAAGACCCAAAAGATTTTTTAATCGGTTACGAGGCGATGTTAAAATATTTACAAGATGGTAAAAATTGGCGAGAAATAGAGGAAGAATTAAGTTCTAAAGGTGTCAAAGCATTAACATTTTACGATGTCGTTATGGATTATATTTTAATGGACGCATTTGAAGATTTGGAATCTCCTCCATCTTCGGTAACAGCGGTTGTACAAAATAGGTGGTTATCAAACGGGTTTAAAGAAGGGGCCTTGACTACGGCTGTTTGGTCGGTTTTAAAGACGAAGAGGAGGATGTTAAAGTTTCCGACTGGGTTTATGGCTCATTTTTATACAATTTCTGAACAATTATCTCCACTGTTAGCGTGGGGGTTCTTAGGACCCGAAGAAACGCTTCGCGAGACTTGCATGTATTTTAAGGAACAAGTTATGGGTTTCTTAGCGGACATTTTCAACTTTCAAAAGTCGAAATTTGTTACGGTGGAAGCGTTAGCGAACGATATCATGATCAATCTTAAAGTTAGGGTCGATAATATTTGTCAGCGATTCTCACCACAATAGTAAAATTACGAACGGTGACGATTTGATTTGTTAAACCCACGTTTATTTTATTTATTAACCTTTTAAGGATTTTGTATCAAAAGTATTGGTAATTTTGATCAAGATTCGTTAAAAGTAAGGTGGATTATTAAGCATTTTTTAACTAAAACCAAAAAAACTAAATTAATGCATTCCTTATGGATTTGTATATTTTATTTATAAGAATAAATAGCAAATTGATATTTAGATATCCATTTTTAGTTTAATTTAGTTTTTAAAATTACAGAAACCTGTAATTGAAACGTTAAATGTCAAATTTAAAACATAACCTATATCTCAAAAATAACACTCATTATCATTAATTAACTTATTTAGTAAAGAAATTTATCTATCATATTCTTGTGTATTAATCTTAATTTTCTACATTTAATTGAACTTTTAAAGTACAAAGTAATGACTCTCTACAATTTAGGTAACCTTTATTTAACTATTATAACCTAAAAAAGAACTTATTTACATTTAGGTAAAACTTGCTTAAAATTTGCAAGTACCTCCTCATTTTCAACAAAGGTAAATCCAAAAACTGCTATTGTTATGATAAATATGGGTGGGCCAGACACAACGGACAAAGTACATGATTATTTGTTAAGAATTATGACTGATCGGGATATGATTCAACTTCCTGTCATGCAAGAGTAAGTATTTTAGGATAAAAAACTAATTAATCAGGGATAATATTTTGTAGTAAATTAGGTGCATGGATTGCAAATAGAAGAACTCCTGAAGTACAAAAAAAGTATGAAGAAATTGGTGGCGGCTCGCCGATTACAAAATGGACTAAATTACAAGGAAAATTACTTTGTGAAGAATTAGATAAAGTTTGTCCAGAAACAGCGCCTCATAAATCTTACATAGCTTTTCGTTATGTTGATCCATTTACAGAAACAGCCTTAGAAGAAATTGAAAAGTAAATAAATTTTATTTAAATGAAAAAATAATTAGCTAAGTTTGCTTTTAGAGATGGAGTAGAACGCGCTATTTTATTTTCGCAATATCCTCAATATAGTTGTGCAACAACTGGATCTAGTTTAAACACAATTTATAAATTTTACAAAAAGCGAACGTTCCCAAAAAATTTAAAATTAAGCTTAATCGATCGTTGGCCTACAAATCAATTTTTGGTTAAAACTTTCGCCGATTTAATTCAAAAAGAACTAAAACATTTCCCAGAAAATATCCGGAATGATGTGGTCATTTTATTTTCAGCACATTCTTTACCATTAAAGGCAAATATTTTTAACTATATGCTTTCTAATAAAATAATTTAATAAAAATACAACATAGGCTGTTAGCAGAGGAGATTCATATCCTTCCGAGGTTGCTGCAACAGCTTTAGCAGTTATGCAAGAATTAAATTATTCAAACCCACATCAAGTTTGTTGGCAATCAAAAGTTGGTCCTTTACCTTGGTTGGGACCTTTCACCGATGAAGCTTTAAAAGATTTTGTTAAACAAGGTGTTAAAAACTTTGTTATGGTACCAATTGCGTTCGTTAACGAACATATTGAAACGTTACACGAAATGGATATTGAGTATTGCCATGATTTAGCAAAAGAAGTAAGTTAATTAATTGATTATTACAATTTTTGTAATAATTCATTTTTAGATCGGTGTTGAACAAATCCGTAGAGTTCCAGCTCCAAATGATCATCCATTATTTATCAAAGCTTTAGCAGATGTTGTTAAACCTTATTTGAATGGTGGGAAAAAGTTGGGTAAAAAGTTTTTGATGAGATGTCCTCATTGTGTTAATACAAATTGTTTACATAGTAAAAAATGGTATGCTAATGTTTGTCAATAAATTGATTTCTTTTTTGTGGGGTTTGTGGTGAAAATTTATATTAAAATGGTTCTAAAAAATTATATTTTGAAACTAAAATCGTATTTTTAGGTTATATCACTTTTTAGGTATAAATAAAACTTTTGGGTTATGTCGGGCGCTTCGTTTTTTCTTAAACGTATTTTATATCTTGTCTATGGTCCATTTATCTTGATTTCCACTCATTTTCACTGGAAAATATTAATTATTCTTAAAAATCAAAATGATATAACCTCAATTTTATGATGGAAGTTGTTAATTCAATAGTACCAATTTAAAAAAAAATAAAGCTACTAAATCTGGAAAATATCTAAGTTTTGAGATAAAGTTGCAACGAAATTACACAGTAATAAATAAATAACAATTAAAAACAAGAAATGAAGATAATAGTAGTATATAGTGTAATTAATATAAATTGAAATTGCTTAAAAAAATTTATTTAAACTTAGTGGCATTTAATCATTTCCATTACCAACCTCACGATTGCAAGATAGTCTTCACCTGACTTTCTCAAATACTTTATTTCGGCATATTTCGTTGTAAGAAACCAATAATTTTCTTTAATAAGCAAACAAAGCGTCTTAAAAGGTACAAAATAAGAAACTTTGATCTTTTCTGAACAAAATAAGACGAAACACCTCGTTTTTTAGCGAATAGAAAAGTTTTGGCGACCACTTTGAAAATTGACATGAACTTTTTATGAAAAATTTTCCATTAAAAAATAATTTAACTCATTTCGAGTTTCAAGGTTGGTAGTAACGACAGAAATTTCCTGTTAAATTAGTTGCCAAAAAAAAGTTTAACCTTAACATTTATTTATTTAAATATTAATATTTATAAAAATAATTGGAAATAAGTGATTGACAAACAAGATTAATTAAATAAATTTAATTTATTAATCGTCTGAAAAACGAAGTTTTGGGTTAATGGTTACCTCAAAAATAGAAGACAATTTTAATAAAAAAATATAAACCTTCATTTTATTTATTACTATTTCTTCACCAAAAAATTCTAATTCTAAGAAAATTAATAATAACAAATTATACAAAATGAGTTCTTCAATTTCATCAAGGATAAAAAAACAATTTCTACACATAAAAACTAATAAATAAATCATTAAGAAAAATAATAATCCTTTTTGTTTTTATGGCGATTGAGCTTCAATTAATTATATAATACATTCGCGTTACAAGTTTTTTATTACTTTTTGTATCCGTATGAATTAATCACTAAAAATAAGTAAAAAAAAGTTATTGGAATTTCACTCATAATTATTTCATAATTATACCTTTATATTCCTCTTCACAAATACACAATAAATTCCACCAGTCCGGTCCGGTAATTCTCGGAATTTCCAAATTTCCACCGTATTGCTGTGGCAAACAATCCGGAGATAAATATTGGTGCAAACTCTTTCTATCCGTGCCATGAAACACGATTCGTTTTTTTAATTTTTCGTTCAAAAACGGCTTGAATAGTGCAAATACTACTTTAAATAGTGATGGTTCATTGATTACGTGGAGACCTTTTAATCTACATGGGATGCAATCCTAAAAATGAAAAAGAAGTTTAATAAGGAAAGTAATTAAGTTTAATGTAGAAGTACTTGAATTAAATGAACTATTCTTTTCGCAAATGATGGCGTAAATTGCCAAGTTTGAGGCAAACTTAAACCATCCATATCAAAAATAACCACAGCTCCAGCCACTTGAGTTGCTGGTTCTAATAAGGCCGCTTCTAAATAAAGAACGCATCCTTTGAAAATTTCATCTAACGTGCATTTATTGTATTTCCAACGTTCTTAAAAAGAAATATTTTAATTAATTTATAAATGCAGAAATTAAGTGCTTACTTCCAAGTTCTATAACTAATACTCTTCGTCCGTGTTGATCTCTCTTCGGGAGAACCGTTAAGATATCGTGATCAAAAACGTTTTTTTCTTTCGAAGGGATCAAATTGTTGTAGTATTGGTGGTTATCTAATTTAAATTGGTAATATCTTTGTATCTGGAGAAGTAATAAAAATAAATAATTAAAAAGTAAATTGCGTGAGCTGTATGTTTTGAGACACAGCTAAACCTGAATGTTTCTAATTCTTGGTTTAGAGAACTAACACTAGACATAGAAGTCCTAGAGGTCTAGTATTAGTTCTAGTATTAGTTAATATGCAACAACCTAGCCGTCTTGAGAGACGCATGGCTAAAGAATTAATTCTAGATCGAGAACTAATACTAGAGTTAGAACTAGAAACTTGGAACTTATTTCTAAACAAATACTTACAAGTTTTAAAGCACTTTCTGGATAATATTTGCATGGCCTTAAGAATCTAATGAGCCAAGTATTACTATGATATGGTGTTTTTAAGTCTGGAAGATCTAAACAAAATAAAATGAATTAATTAAACCAATAAATAAAATCAATGCCAACAAAGATGTCACAATAATAAAGCATTGACGCTCAATAATAGAATAATTTAGTAATTAATACGCGAAGCTTCTTCAACCTTTCGATTATGATCGATTATTAATAACTGATAAAAACAGGTTTGATTTTTATTTCGTGTGGCATTGAAATTCTTTTTGTTTCGAAATTTCATTTTTCGCTTACGAAATCGATTGCAAAATAATAAATAAATTCAGAATGTACATTACATAACCGAATTTTTTAAGTAAAATTTACCTTTAAGCATCTCCCTCAAGCGATCTATAGCTTCCGTTTGGACGTCTTTAGATTCGCGTAACTCATCTTTGGCGACGTCTTCAAGGGTTGGTGGTAAATCCCCCACTTCTAATTCCAAAGAAAAATTGCCGATTTGTAATTTCGGGAGACTTTTCAAGTCTGATAACATCGTGTCGGCAACTGAAAATGAAATAACGCGAATTAATAAATCGAATATTAAAGGATGTGACGAAATTTAGAATTGAATAAATCATGAATTTCATTTTTTTTTAATTAAATTAGATTTTTTTTGAAAAATGAAGATAAAATCCATACCAGGCATGGTTCTTTTTTTATTATAAATTTAATTGTGATTTTCTACTTGTTATAAAAGAGGACGGAAATGTAATGTTTACGGCACAAAAACTTCTTTAGATGCCCACAGAGAACTGTTAAGTTGAGTTGATGGTAGTGGGTCTTAAGTACTTTTTTTTTATTTTACTCTACCATGAAACACGATCATGCGCAGTTACAAAACTTTTTAAATTGAGGTGATGACCATCGAATTCTCTCAATACTTTTAGAAAATACTCCCAAAACAATTTGCAATAATAATAATAAACAACGAAAATAACGTTGAATTACAGGAAAATTTATTAAAGAGTTAAAAGTTAAAAATATTACGTTGTCATTTCTATTCACGGTTTCTTGGAAATTTTAAGTGGTGTGTAAATAAGAATTGTAAACATCCTAATTAAATAATGCTTTTTTATTTACAGGTAAGAATAACATTAAATGCACCATTTTTGAAAAAAAAAAATTAAATCTCACCTTTTTATTTATTATATAAAGATAATTGTTGATAATTTATATTATTAAATTAATAACAATGTTAACTTTACTCGTATTTACAAAGTACTAAATTAATGGCCATTATAAATGGTTGCTTTTATACGTTCATTTAATAACGATTATTTTTTTCCTTTTTTATTTTCCTCGTTACAATTCATTGAAAACTCGTTAACCCTTAATCATGGGAATGACAACGTGTTTATAACGACGTGATTATTAAATTCGTAAAACTGGTAGAAATATAAACAGAGTTTTTTGTTGTTGGATAGTACAAAGGTTAACGTTAATTGATTAGTTTGTGTTAAAATTTCCGTAAATTATTAAATATGTGAAAATTACTCCAAGGTTATTTATGTATATTTTAATAAAACGTTAAAAAACAAAGTTACAGAAAAAAAAAACGTTGACAACTTCATCTTTTTTATTTTTAGCATCTAACGCCCTCTCTTAAAATCTATTACAATTAAATGCACTTTCTCAATGTTGTGAAAATCCGAATTTTGTGTAATCTATGAACAAATAAATAACGAAAAGAACCTTCCTTTAGACCTCTTCTAGTTAAAAGTTAACTTTTTGTCCGACAGACTTCAGTTGATCTTTGTAATCACTGGTGCGATAAGTACAATGCCAATTCTAACAATGCATGTTCTGCTTGGCCTATCTCCTTTGTATGTGCATATGGAGGTAGTGGCTAAAACTACCATTTACAGATTTAAGCAATATGCTCAAAACTGTTTCAACATGCCATACCAATGAGCTGCGGAAGACACTATAACCACTGATATTGTGCTATCAATGCCGTTAGATTTGATGGGATCACTGTCAGCGACTAAAGCTTGATACCAGATTGTACTGCCTAAACGGCAGTCCTGGATCGAAAACGAAAATTCTCTGGTTCACGCAGATATTTGCATGTTCACAGATGGATCAAAAACGCCGGAAGGGGTCGGGGCAGGAGTATACTGCAAGACACTGTACTGTATTCCAGGTGGAAGTATTTGCTATTGGCATGGGTGCTAAAATCCTTCTTGAGAGAGGAATCAAAAATATGACAGTACGATTTTTCTTAGACGGTCAAGCCGCTCTCCAGGCGCTGCAGACCGTAAAAGCGGTGTCTCTGGTTAATGACTATACAAGAACTTCAAACCAACTGAGTTGTGATAACAGAGTTCTTTGATCTGGGTCCTAAGTCACTCTGGGGTTGCTGGAAATGAAGCGGCTGATGAGCTAGCACGAGAGGGCAGTGCTAAAGCGTTTGTGGGGCCAGAGCAAGGATTTGGTATATTATTTGCGATGGCCAAACATAGGATTGGACTGTGGGCTGAAGAGAGACTTTGCCTACTGTGGACTAGTTCTCCTGGAATGAGACACTCTAAGTTGTTTATCAACATCGCCACTGTCAGACCCGGAAATATCTTAGGACTTGCTCGTAGCAGCATCAAAGTTCTAATGGGTGTCTTTACTGGGCACTGCCGATTAAAGACGGCATATTAATGTGAGGAGGACGAGGAGACGGATCATGTTGTATTCCACAGCCATGCTGCCAAAGGATCTGAATGACTTTTCATCGAGTAAGGTATTAATATATTCATTAAGAGTATTGGACTGCTCAATAAACTCTACAATAAATCCTTAGGGACTAATTTCTTATGTACACGAACTTTTTTTTTTTTTGAAAAACTTTAAATAACATTTAAACAAACTTTTTTCGCGCTAAAATATGACGTCTCAATTATTATTATTTATTTTTTCCTAACCATAATGGTGGTGTGGATAGTAACTAACGGTAACCACACGTTACCTAGCAACGCATGACAGGTCATCTGACGTACGTTTTGACTTTTAACATGTCAAATAAAATTAACCAAGATTATTTCATATAATGATTTCTAAAAAAGAATAAAATTAAAACTTACCTTCAGCATCTAATTCATATAAAGTCACGGTAATCGGAGGCATGATGATAAATGTCTTCTTATGTGTTTGTTAACCTTAAAAAGTAAAGTTATAAATTGAATATTAAGCAATTAGTAGTTTACGTTAAGAGTTTAAATTATAAACTAAGCGATACTGTATGTATTATATTACTTAAATAATATTTATGACTAATGTGGTTTATAGACAAAACGTTAAACAAAGCGTATGATTTCATAAGGTCAAAGATTAAAACTGAAATCAAATCATTTCAGGAAGTGAGTGATAATCAACAAGGAATAAAGCAATCACTAAAAACTTACGTTTATTCTTTCAACACTTTAAAATTAGTCTGCTTGAAATCGCTGAGATGAAGGAAAATGGCAAGATGCTGGGGTACCTTTTTAAGACGACCGCCAGAACTCGTTTAAAATCAATCAAGGTCGACAATTCTTTTAAACCGAAAAAAAAATAATCGATTCACTTATACGTCTTTAAAAGTTCTTTGAAATTCAATAAACGTCAATAAACATTATTTACGATTAAAATAGTGAATTATGTGACACGTTATTTTTTTTTAATTCAACTTTTCGTGTTAAAGTTTCATTTCGAACTGTTACCGTTTCATAATTCATACCGCATTTCGATATTTTTCAAGTTATTGTCGACACCATCGTTCACCTTCGTAGATTAAAATTGAATTGAACGGTATCGGCATTAGATTAATTAGGTTAGTGTTGCGTTAAAGTTTAAATAAACATTGGATTATACGTAATCAATTGATATAATTTATAGTGTGATTAGAGTATTTTAAGTGCAATTTTATATGATTAAAGTGCATGTGCATTAATAATAATGATGTTTAAAAACTAATATTTTAACACGTTTATTAAGTTGTAATAATTGTTTTAAATTTTAAATGAGGCGAAGGTTAAAAGGTTAATGTTTTAAAAAGAAATGCAAGTTGGTAAATATCTATTAAGAGTTTTAATTTACGTAATAAGGTCGATCGTTGTTTAAATAAAAAATGTTTAAAAAGAAAAATTGGTACGACATAAGATTAAGTTGTAAATAAATAAAAAAAAGTTATTATGGTGGTTTTGAAGGTTATGAAGTTTCTTGGGTATTAAGGTAGAACATTAAAAAAACCAGTTATGACGACGATCAAATTTTTTTCTTTTATTATTTATGCGTAACTTTCCATTTCTTTTTGTTATTCAATGACGATGTTGTTTATTCTTGGTGGATCTGAAAAATGGGTTGTATAGCTTAAAAGAATTATTAGAAGAGTTAATAAGATTTATTGGAAAACGCTGACAATCATCGAATGAATAAAAATAATTTTAATGAATTATTTATGAACAAAATAATTTTGTGGTTTGATTCCAGAGAAAATGGAAATTTACGTTTAAATATATTATTATTTACAACGTAACAATGTAAAGTACTTTGGTTTTTTTGATGAAACACTTTTGATTCATTAAAACATAAATTAATTTTAAACAAATTTTTAAATAACAAATATTAGCGCCCTCTACGTGTAATAACAATTAAATTACAGGAATCTTCAAATATTTTATCAAATAAATTGGTGCACATCCACGACGTAATGCTTAAACGAAGTGGTGAACATTTCATTTAATAGTCACATAAGATAGGAAGAGATTTAGTACTCCTAAAAATACAATAGATGTTTATTTCTAAAAATGTGGAATTTTGACACATATTTAATCGATGTCAAAAGATTTGACAACATCCCGCTAGATGGCGCTACCAATAATGACATTTCAAAAAATAATATAACGTTTTTGGATAAAAAGCTTTGTAGCTCAAAAATTATAAATTCTAGGAAAATATGTTGTAGTTGAATTTTGTTTATAACGAACCAACACAACATTATTTACAAATGATTATAACCCAATTATGATTATAACCAACTTAACAGATTTTAAGTTTGAGACAACTCAAATTTCTTACTTATTTATTATTTATCAATCTATAATCTGGCTGTTACACACATGCTTTTACCTGGACACACTTTTTTGTAATTATCCTTTGGCACTACCTATTTGGGCTACCTCTCTAATGCTTAGTTATTAGCTACGTCGCTGTAATGACCCTCTGGTTTCATTAACCAATTTGGGCGTATTATCTATATTTATAGATGGTGTTTACTAAACTCAATGCCACCCATGTGAAGAATGTTGGCTAAGCTTATTAACGTTTTGCGTTATACTACGTAGATTTATAAGATGATATGGTTATTACCTTATTAAACAAGTTTATCAAGATCCACCTAATTGTGTCAGTGGATAATCTAATTTGTACTATAATTTCGTAACATTTTACAACATAGTTATCCGATATTCTATATTTATTAGGCGGCGTTAAAGTTTTAAAATTCTGTATGTCTCTTTACTGATTTTAGATATTATTTTTCTTAAAGATTTATTAAAATGGTGAAATAACACAAACAATTTCATAGATCATTTATTTATTGTCATGCCCATGGGCTGGGTAAAATGGATACATCAGTCAAAGTGAATGTGTCAGACGGACATAAATGTGGACTATTTCCTCTCGACACCTCCCATTATGATATGCTGTCGTCGTACGGTCAATTTTACAAAGCATACAAGTCATATAAGCGAAAAGGGATGGGGAAATAATGAAGTGCCGCTCTTGCCCAATAACTTACTTTATCAATTTATCTCATTTTCTTAATTAAAAAAAAAAATTAACACTTCATTTCCAACCAGCCCTTTACTTTACAGCGACACATCGTTTTTTTTTATAGTTTCTTTTAATAATTTAACATTTTACCTCGAATTTTGCTGACGAATTTTTGTTTAGGTGTTAATCGTAGAGTAATAATAATAATAATAATTTAATCATAATGATAATTAATAACGAAACGACGGGTTCGTACACGTTTTTATTTTTATTCTTTTTTTTTCAAGGGGTCTTCTTTTATAATGTATTTACACGTGTGATGTTATACTTAAATACTTTTTTTAATTTAATTTTTATTTCTCCACGTTTTCTTTTTTTATTATTTAATTTATTTTTAATAATAATATAGTTATTTCGCGTACAAAATCTAAACTATTGTTTCTTCTTTTTTTTTTTTAATGGTAGTCGTAACCTTAGGATTACGAACTCAACTCTGAACTGTATGTTTTCAAGCAAACCCAGGATTTATTCTTTTTTATATTATTTACAGAATTATTTTAATATTTAAAAGGGACGAAATGGCACCGAGCTGATGTCTGAAAAAACTGTCTGATAGAGAGGTTTATATTGGTATCTACACGAATTCGAAAAGTAACTTTCAAATTTTTAACAACTTTTTGTACGGAAGGATTTTTTTTTATATAAATAAAAAGAATTTTTTAAAAAATTTTAAAAATTAAAGTAAATCCTTCATAAAAATAGTTGTTTATACATGAGTACCTAAATTCTCTCACCATAATATGTAATTTAGATCGATAACATGAAAAAATTGGTGATCCGTCGAAATCCGTATGGAAAGCAGAAATGGAATGATATATAAGCGAAATAGAAAGATATAAACTAAGCATCACTGCTCTGTAAGAGGTGAGGTGAACAATACCAGATATATTGGAGATTGGTTCCTTATCTCAGTGTATTGTATAATTGTGACCCAATAAAACATGTATTGAGATTTTTATAGATATACTGCGCCATATACAGGATGTTACAAAATAACTAATTTTCAGAAATGATTGAGGACACTTAAATAAATATTTTTTATTGATAAATTGTCCTGAACTCAAAGAGGGTTGTCGGGTCATTGATGATGATGAATTAAAATTCAAAAGTATTCATTTTCTCATCATATGGTGAGATAATTTAGTGACACATCACGATTCGTAACTATTTTATTTTCACCTTTCAGTTAAATATTACGCTTTAAGCGAGAAAATGATGGGAAAAAGAGCACGGCCATATCGTAACACCGGTTTTCTTTTTTTATATCACATGCAATTTAACAACTAATATTAATTCATCTCAAATTAGTATTTTTATATGTTACAACAAACGTTCATCATATACATTTTCTTGTTTGAATTTTTTTTTGTTGTTCATGTGGGCCTAAGTACAATACATATAATACAAGTTTCTTTTAGTTCTTTTTTTAATCGTTATTTTCATTAACTTTCGTTTCCATATTTTGTTCTATCTATCTAATGTTTAGATTTATTTTATAGATGGTTTTTTTTCGTTTTTGAAATTTTATTATTTTATTTCAAGTAAAAAAGCGGTTATCAATTCCATTATAAAGCCATTATACGGAAGCAAGTAAAAGTTATCCTCATCCTTTTAAATATTCAGCGATTATTTTTACACACTTCCGTACATACAACGTATTTCATTATAATTTAATAATGGATATGATTCAGTTATGTCTTTATGTGTGCGCATATATCCTAGACGATTTCCTCCTCATTTTATATAATATTTATATTAAGTATTTTTAGCCTCTTATTGAACTAGATTCACACTATCCCATGTTTTTTAACGTCTACAAGTCATAATCTATAATTCTTAAGTACGCACCATTTTGCGATCATTGAAATACTTCGTTTATTTATTTATTTAGCTGTTTCATTCTGGGATATAATCATAAGTATATGGTTCATATTCTAGCTTTTTACAAATGATGATGTAGTTTATGTAACAACCGATGCGATTTCTCCGCTTCAGTCTTTCGTCGTTCTCCTTTTGGACGACCTTTTCTTCATAGTTCACTACAAAAAAAGAATTAATTAATGAACATTGAAATTTAATTAAAACATCTTAAAGAAATCACCAAGATAATTATTATTAGTATCAAATTTAAAAGGATCAAATACGATTATGAAAGATTCGGGATTAAATCATGCGAAAAAAATCACACTGATAAAGCAAAAAAAAATAAAGATACACCGGCGTACCTAAACGACACGGCGGTCAGCGTTCGAAGTCTGCAATATAAGAAATCAGATGATGACAAGTAGCTGAGGGGTGAATAAGGAACCATTTATAACGAAACAAGGCACAAAGAGGGAGTGTGAAAGCGGATTTCGGTTACTTTTTCAAAGCGTTTCACATGACGTTTCTATAAAAAGCTACAATGAGGTGAGATCGTTATCGTAACGGGATAAATCCGGTTATAGTTTAAGGGAATCTAGGCTAGCCATTGAACTCCTGCGTGAAAGGCTGATCGAGGAAGGTCCACTAACCAAGGACGTCGTCCCGAAGAGCTTGTACCATCCGATGACGATGTTGCTTAAGTTTAAATCGTCCAACATAATCTGGGCTACACCCATGAACACTTTTTTACCTTCTATTCGACCGTAATCGCCCCATACTGTCACCTATAAAAAAAATTAATTAAAAAACAACTCCAATAAACACATTTTGGGAAATAACCTGTAATACACAGCCTTGAAATGGTTCCTTAAATGCTAATTGCTGCTGATAGAGAGGATCTAAAGTACGTCTTGCCATCGATGTTTTCGCTTTTGCTATACACTTTTTTCCATTTACCAAATAAACTTTTACGTAAGGTGCTAAAAATGATAAAAATCGTTATTTATCAAGAAACAATTAATACATAAACATAAAAAATATGAATAATAAATTTACCTGGTAATACTTTAGATCCAGGTCTAGCTTGAAGTCCTCTAGCTCTTATAACTTCAACCTCTAAAAATCCTTTTTGATAGCACAACGACAATTGGATATCTCCTAAAGCAGGAGCACCAAGGACTTGTCTTCCTACCAATTGCCCAGGTCCCAAACCATCGATGAATTCTGCCAATTGACCCCCTTCCCCTGCCAATCTTAATAAGGGAGACCACCTAATTAGTGAATAAGGTATTTAAATCCTTGAGTGAGCTTGAATGTACGAGAACATGTCTGAGAGTTTTTTTTAATTGGATATCATTATTTTCTGATGAAGAATTTAATTGATTAAAACCCCGAATCGTTTAACTACGTTAATTTTAACTTACTCATTCCTTCAAGTATAGAGACTACAACAATGTGAGAAAACTAACAAGAATAGAGTATTTGAAATAATAAACAGAAAATAGTGATATACCACAACATTTAATATCAAAAGGGATCATGTTTTTAATCGAATGAATAGTAATAATAATAATAAATCGGAAATGTATAAGTATACATCGAATGTTACTGAAAAATGAGCGTAGAGCAGACACAGGTACGTACATAGAGAGAAATAGAATAACCGGGCCAATAGCTACTGCTAGGAAATTCCCAAGGTGATCTTACAGAGTTAAGTAAAAAAAATAAAAATAAATTTTAACAAAAAATCGTGTGGAAAAGTGTCACTGAACCGTGTTCATCAACGGTAGTCAAAAACCATGCTTAACAATGGTGATTGTGCGAAAAGCATGCTATTCTTACACATAAATTAGACACACCTTTAAACCTAATTTTATATCATTTTTTTTTAACTTCGAAATCATATTATATCGTAAAAAGGCAAATTATATTTACATCATGCGTAGAGCTATATTTTAATATAAATCATACCAAAAAAAGACTACACACAACACATGTGTATATTAAATTATACCATAAAATAAAAATAGATACATACCAAGATTTTATACGGTCACCATTTGCGTACAAGCCGATATGCAAATAGATTTACCCCAGATATCGGATAAACAACCCAATATCATGTTCAATTTTTAGGAGCGCAACAAAATGTGATTTTCCCAGTCACTTATCTGGCTCGAATATAAGTTATCAAATTTTGCTGCTGCAAAGTGAGATATACCACAAATTTTTATTACGAAATAAATAAAATTTGTGGTCGGTTGTGGCAAGCACTCACTTTAATATACAAAAATAAAACAATACTCACGTAAAAAACACACAATCTTTATAATTAATGTACAGGGCTTTCAGAAATGATTGTAATCCATATACGTAAAAGAAACGCTTTGTAAAACGGCGTCAAGTTGTAGGTAGTGTGATGCCAACCCAACTCTGATACCGACCCTGGTCAATTTTTCAGAGTTTGTTGGAACTTTGCTTAGATTATGTGGTCATTAAATTAGAGACACCTGCTTTCTAAGAAGACATTGATTTGCCTCACCATTAAATGACCAAATTTATCAAGCCTATCAAAATGTATAACTGACCCTATGAGGATGGTATGAAAGGCGATGTCTTAGAAAGAACTTGTCCGCAAGAGAGTGTGCACCCTTACATATATCTAATAGATGGTAATGATTGAGAGATTGGATGCATAAGATACTTTGATCTCAATAAGATTCTGTTTAGATCAGGAATGTGCAGAAAGTGTCTCTTTTTGTTCTTACAGGAAAATCAAGGAGCGTGAAGTGATGTGATGTTGAAAACAACGCGTCTAAATACTGATTAAAATCTAATTCTGTTGTCTTGTTAAGGTTAATTTATTTTAATTCTCATTAAAATGGTGAAGAATTTATTTCTAACTCGATTTACATAAGCAAAAAAAGAAATGTTTTATAATATATTAAGTGAGGAAATCACGCGGGGTTTAATCATTTCTGAAAACATTGCACAAAATTTTCGTACAATGACAGCATGTACAACTAGAGAGAATAAATATAACCAAAATACCATCAATAAAACAAAAAGAAATCAGATTGATTTAATGCAACACGACAGCCAGAGAGCAAGAGAAGAGCACACTTTTCGAAAGATAGGATCAAGATTAAACACAACCAAGTGGATAAAGTATATTATTTTTGTATTATTTTTGAATTGAATTTTGGTTTCGGTTGCGCCCTTTTTTGCAAGTAAATACTTACGATGATCCCTCCGAGCTAGAGATCGAGTTCAAACTTGAAGCTCTTTGACTGGTATCCGAAGATCTCGCAGGAACCACTTCCTGGGACCGTTGAATGTTTGAGGCCGATCTTTTTCTAGTACTGTATCCGCTGTCTAAAGAGTTACAAAACACGTTTTTCACTCGTCAGAAACATTCCGAATATTTTTTTAAAAAATATCTTTTCGTTATCAAAAGAAAATAAATAATAATTTGTACACTGCGTTATTATTTGTTTTGATTTTTTTTTGGAAACCTGTAAATTCCTTTGGTCATCGTGAGAGACATCGTGTTCACTAAAATGCAGCTCTGCCTAAGAACCTAAATCGCAAGAAGCGATCTATATTAATAATAATAATGTTGGTAACAATAATATTAGCTGGTCAATAGTTAATAGTAACAATAATAGCAAGCATAGCCGCTACTAAGAACATAATAAAATAATAATTTACGAAAAGAAAACTACTTTACTTGCCATTAATAAAAATGTATTATAGAAATAATACTAAAAGAAAATCATCTCAGTATAATATGTAATAATTACAAGTAACAGTAAGAACAGCGAAAATAATCGTGTGAAACTGAAAATGTTTCAACTAAAATCGTTGGACATGCAACTTTGTCCCAAAAGAAAATTAATATAAAGGGGTAAAAACTATTTTAGAAGAGCTCTACTGTACCTAATGTACTCTAACTAAGCTCTTAACTGCTTTCATCGAACATTAGATTTCGATAATAATACTTTTGATGAATTTTTCCAACAGAAGAACTTCATATCAACTAAATAACAGAATATATTGTTATATATTATTTCTTATTTTTCCATTTTATTATTTTTTACTAACAATTAAAGCTTATTGTGCAAATATCACATAAAATAGCAGCAATTTATCCTATTTTTTTAATTTCATTTTCATCCTATTTTTAATTCTCAAAATTTTTTTGTTACTTATTATTTTTGTGCTCTCTCTATGTACGATATGTGCAGTTGCTCTCTGGATTGGATAAAGGAAATAAGAATTATGGAGATAACTGATGTAATCATGATGTTAAAAATCGTTATAAAATCTTCCAACCTGTCGCCATCAGCAGATAAATCTCCTTCGCTAGATGCTGAAGATCCCTGTTTTGAGAGCCTTACATCTCCCGGTATCACTTCTTCAGATCTATGGACGGTAAACGAAGTTTTTCCTCTCTTTCCGAAACCCATCCGCCTCTTTCGACCTACAGTTTAATTTTAAATGGAGGTAGGATAAATGTGTTCAAAAAGGATTGAGAGCCGCACTTCTTAGTATTTTATTAAATGTGTTTAAATCTGAATAATGAATCAATTTTGTATCGCGATTATCTAACACTACTAAAAAATCACACGAGAGGTAAAATTAGTATACAAAAAATATATATAGTGTGTCCATAAAGTTATGATGCATTTTTGACCGGTCACAAAAGTAACAAAGCAGGATGGAAGTGTGAAATCTTCACCAAATAATAGAAAAATTCTTCAAGTTTCATACTTGTTCAGCTCTGGTCTCCATTTGTTACCCTACACACATCTAAACGATAATCGTTCCACACACAATAAAAATATACAACAACCTAGCGCTGAATTACAACCAAAACTAGAACTAACACTAGACCTAAAACTAGAAACATTCGGGTTTAGCCGTCTTGAAAGACGCACGGCTAAACCCGAATGTTTCTTGTTCTAGGTCTAGTGTTAGTTTTAGTGATAGTACTAGTATATGAAACTAAGAGAGTTTTCCTTTTATTTGGTGGAGATTTCACATTTCTATCTTGCTTTGTTACTTTCCTCTGACCGACCAAAATTGCACCATGACTTTACACACTATATTTATAGAAATACATAGAAAGAAAATTTGAGATTAAAACCTGAACCCAAATTTTTCTTCTTACCTGTTGCCGACAGTTGACTTGTTGAACTGCTTTTTTTATTGAGTCCACCAAATTGAATTTGTCTATCTCTATCGCGTTCACGGTGACTATCTTTTCTAGTTGGTTCTTTTTGAGGCACCTCCAATCCGTGCAATTGACCAACGGCTGTATCACTCAAACTACCGTCTAAATACGAGAAATGATTATTAAATTTAATTTAATAAATACAAAAAAAAAATAAACATCATAATATTTTACCTGCTTTTTCATCAGCTGGAGTTTCATTATTGGACAAACTCCTGGTAAATTGGCCCCTTTTAACACTTCCATCTCTATGCTGTCTATGATACTGATGATGATCCATTTGTTCAGGTTCATGATCTCGCTCGCGTTCTCGTTCCCTATCTCTACTTCTCGTCGATGGATGTCTGTGCGTGGCGTAAGGATATCTATCACTTCCGGTCCCATAATCAGCGCTGTCGATATCAGAAGCGTTTTTACAACTAGCCGAAGAACTAGTAGCGATCGAACTACCAGAATTACTTAACTTAATTCTACCTAATTCTTGAGGGTCATCTTTATTATTACAATTACTTCGAGACATATACTCATTTCTATCAACGACAGTTTCAATGGAACTTCTTTTTTCTAACAAATTTAAATTACTGGATTTTCTGCGAATATTATTAGGTACATCTGCTTCAACAGGAACTTCAAAACTATTTTGTCTATTTAATAAATAACTATTTGAAAGTCTCCTATTTGAGATAAGATCAGTTTTTACTTTATTAATTATACCTTTAATTACGTTAGGATACCACGGTTCAGAATCATCTTCGAAACTAGAACTACTGTTATGCTTAATTTTGTTAAATTGATTCGATTTTTGACTACAACTAAAGCACTTAGGATTTATAACAGAAATATCACCTTTTGCATTACAAGGTGGTAATGGGTGATTAATAGCAAAAGGAAAAACTAAGTTACATTGATCCAAAATGGAATTTCTTTTGCATTTAAGTTTATAGGAATAAGCGTTATCTATGGGATTACTAAAGTCATTCTTCATTGAATCTTTATATGAATTAGTTCCTTTGATGGCCTTATACAAACTGTGAAAAATAATGTTTTAAAAAATACAAGGTTATTTATCTGTGTCTCAATAAATCGACGTAAACATGTTAACGGTTGGGTTGAATGTTTAGGTACTTCAAATAGAAAGCTAGACACCAATGGCAGAAGAGCAAATACTGCTGGAAATAGTAAATACTGCTGGTTGAAGACTAGACACTAATGCCAAAAGACTAGGAACTGCTGGCAAAAGAGTATATACTGCAGTACCTCCCACAAGTATTTGCAACCGCTAACATGTTAAATAATTGATTTGACTTAATTGAGTAAAAAGATTAATAGTTGTCCAAAAAATGTTTTGTCCTTACCTGACTATTCTTGTATTTCCTCTTGGTCGCTCCGATTGTGTCGAAAAAGCACTGCTCGTCACCGACGCAACCGATTCCATATCACTATCAAAATCAACGAGTGCAGAGGGATCCCTATCGCCTCGATCCGGCGACAGGGCCCTCCTAGTTCTCGAATGAGTTGCCAAATCACTGTCACTAAGCCCGCTTAGACGTCTCTCCCAACCTGTTCCGGTCATCCGATACGTTGGCACGTGATATCGTACGCGATGTCGTCCACCTCCGTGGCCACTGTGTCCTCCTCCGTGATGCGAAGGACGTTCGTCGAAGTCTTGTTGCGAAACCCGATCTTGTATAGCACGTGCTAAAGCGTGTGGTACTTGGGGAAGATGACGCTTTTTTGGAGAACCTGTTGGTGTTGCCGTTGCTGATCGCGATTGGAATCTAGTTGAGTAGGAAGAAGAAGGTGGGTATTCTATCCGGACGTCTGGAGGTGATAGAGATCGATGATCGGTTGCTGATCTTCTAGGAGATTTTGAACGTGATCTAGACATGTGCATACTTGGGGATTCACATGGAGCCGCCGAATGAGATCTTTGATTCGCCATTCCACTCTAAAAATAAAAAATAAAAATCATTATAAAATAATCTCTAAGTAATCTTAAATTAAACCTTTCTATAAGCTGTTTGTGAATAACTCGACATAGTTTCCTGGTCCCTTCTAGATCTCCTATCAGATTCTCTTGGTGGACTAGTAGAACTACCAACACTACTCACACTAGCGCCATCAGCTCCTCTTCGCTCTCTTCCACCATCAATTTCGCATTCAGATGGAGTATCAGAATCGGAAAATCTCGAACCGGTGCTTGGAGGAGAAAGATGTTCGCTTGGCGTTAAAGCAACTTCTTCATGTGCACCTAACTGTTTCCACATAGGAACATCTTCAAAAGACCATAATTCTACGACGGTTTCACCGAGGAAATCATTTGGTCCATATCTTTCATAGTCCCAAACGGTTATTTCCAAAGCTCTTTGTTTTAAATCGGCCCGTCTAAGACCTGAGTAAACGAAGGTTTGGTTCCACATTGGTTCAGTTGTACCTAGATTTAAGAGAGTTTAAAAAAATTTTAAAAATGATTTTTTAATTAGTTACCAGCGAGCGTTCTCGTTCTTCTTTTAGATTTTTCCGATCGATCCGGTAAGAGGAATAGTTTGCAATAAGGATTCCGTTGTTGATGTGGCGATCTTGGCATAAGGCCAGATGCGCAAATTATCGTCACTAACAGTTGTAATGTGGTTGGTTCGAAGACTATTCGTAATTGAACGCGTCCTCCGACACTTGGAGGCATCGTTGGACCGGGTCTTGGTCGTTCAGGACTTCCTGGTGATGTAACTAGAACGTGTGGTCGTTCATAACCTTCCGATTCTACCCATTGGGCTTGACCTAAATAAATATTAAAAAAAATTTTAATACAAATTTTTAACTAAATTCATATTAATTTTGAAGACTTGACTTCTATTTATAAATTTATAAAAGACATAATACAAGGAAGAGTTGTGATTTTACATATTTTTACAAATCATCGTCTCTACACATAAACACTAAAACACTCGGATGATAAAAACAGTTTCGATTAAAATAAAAAAAAACAGTTGTTGCTCCCAGTATTACACAACGAATCACTGTACATGTAAGTGTTTACAAAAACGTCATCTTAACATCCACACTGCTTACACTCAATACGTATGATGGTCAAGTTCCCGTAGGATTCGTGTAGTGAAGGTGTCGTGCTTTAGTGTTTATGAAAAAGAGAAAACGGTGCTGTGCGTTAATAAAAACGAATATGAACAAGAAAAGATTGTCTTACCAAAGATTGAACTGTTTATTCTTTTTTATTTATTTTTGTCGTACCTCTATGAGCCACAGACTGTCTCCAACTGGCCTGAGCAGCTCTTCTACTTCCCATACTTCTAGATACTATTAATTCGACATTAGCTTCTTGTTTACTTTCGGCAATGATTTCAGCTACCTCTTGGTAACTTTTTCCTTGTAATGACCTACCATTCCATTCAATAACTTCATCGCCTTAAATAAAAAACAAATCAATCTCACAAATTTTATCGTATTGAAAAATAATAACTAACCTGCTTTTAGTTGGCCTTCAACATCCGCTATGCTGCCTTTTTTCACTTTTTCAATAATAGCTCCTTTGTAACCATGTTCTAATATTTTACCACCAACTACTTTTAAACCTAGCAGAACAGCACTAGAACCGGTCGCTTCTCTAGATGTACCTTTTCTTAGAATCATATGACCGATCATTCGGGTCCCATCCGCGGATACTTGCCAAGATAACGGATGCTAATTCAAAAAGAGAGATATTACTTAAAATAATATTGGAAAAATATCGTCGAGATGACACTACGAAGGTGATATTGATCAATTAACGTCTCTATTTAATAAACTTAGCTTTAAGCATTAAGTAATTCTTGGAAAAATGATTCATTACGAAAACAATCGAATCGTTGGACTGATTTGTGATAAATCACAAACGTGCTTGAAAACATGGGTTATTATTATTCAACGAGTTGAAATTCCAAGGGATTAGTTGTCACGTGAATTATTTCGAGTTATAAACGTGCCAATAATTGTTGTAATTGTAAGTTTATCACGCTATATTAATTTTTATACCATATTGCTAGTTCCAATAAATGTTTCTTATTGTTTGTGTAATAACCTGATTGAGTACCCAACTACCGATGCACTGTTGTGGACAGTTTCTACACGAACGTCATGGGATTACGAAGAGCACACCCTAAACACTACTTTAGCCACTTGGAGAAAGAGGTCAGTGGTGAAATGGAGAGATGCTCAAACCCAGAAATTGACCGAATCCTTTACGACAAACTAGAGGATGCTGTCAAAGAACAACATACTGGAAGCTAATGACCCTGAAAACGCTGGTTTATAATTCCGATCCTGGGGTTTTTTAGCTTGCCCGGGATTCCCTTGATAAATGGGCCAAGGGAAGTTAAACGCAGAGGATTACGCTTTGATGGCGAAAGCCCACATCACAATATGCTGCTAATATTGCACTTCTCCGATGACGCAGAATGTTAAGTATGTTTAGAGAATGAAGAGAGCATGTTTTATGCTTCCAGTAATCGTGTCAGTTATTCTCAACATTTAATCATTTAGTAGATTTATAATTGTCAAAACATTTTGAATTGAACTTTAACAATAAGCTAAAAGCTCTTATTGCAATAACAAAGAAAACTCACCACCATTTTTAGTTGTAATATCCAACAACATTGAACTACTCTAAAAGCACTCTCTTTGAAAACTAATAAATTATACCTATCCAAAAAATATTCGCGTATAACGTGAGTCAGAAGGCAACTTGCGCACGCACTAACGATCGAGTTACTGGAAATTGCAGATAACATAAATTATTTAAATTAATATTAATATTTGGAGTATTTTAGAATAAACCAATAAAAAAAAGATCTAAACGAAAAACTTGGAATACAAGTTGGAATTAATAAAAAAAAATTAACCGCGGGGTGTAAATTACAAGAGTTAAACTCATGATGTATAACGAAAACAAACCGTGAGCTCGTTTAGTATTTCACTAACTTGCAAACACTATATTTTCAAGTTTAGACAGACGCCGTCGGGTCGTATCTAACCATTTAGCCGCAAAAAAAATAAAGCAAAAAGAAAATCTCGAAATGCACCTTCGAAACTGGTTGGGAATCGGATTTACGGTAATAATTTCAAGTTATGTTTTCTGGGACCCACAGCTTGTTCGTCTTATTCGGAAATAATTTTACCGTTGTTTGACTGCAGTAATAAATTACGGGGCGCCACATCGCATCGGCAAGTCGCAACTGCCAAAACGGCGCTACGCCCCTCTTGGGAATCGGCCAAATGGCATGTGTACGAGATACATTGTCTACAAGAAAAATCAACACAAAAACGTTTGTGCCTCTTTGGCTGCCCTATTTATACCGCCTCGCATTTTCTACAATGGACAAGATACGATGAGATGAACCGGCCAAGAATTAACGCCGCAGAAACGATTGTTTTGTTCCTTTTGATTTCTTTCGATTTCAATGCGGGGAAATCCAACCGATTTTTTTCACGAAATTTTCCAGTTGTGATATATTACAAGACGTTAACCCACCAATCATAGCTCTGCGAACATGATTTTTTACAAGATAAATGAAAGGAATGCACGCAACCGATTAAGAAAAGATCAACACAAAACGCTTTTTTAAAAAATGTGCTAAGCCATGCTTATGCATTAATACTTTAAGCAATAGATATAATAAATAGAAAGATGCACATAAAAACATGCAAATTATTTATAATTAGATCAATTTTAAAACTAAATACAATTTTACTTTTGTACGAATTAAGTTTATGATAAAATTAAGTAAAATTGTATAAAAACTAATTATAGGTATATAATTACTCTTCTTATATCTACCGAAAATAAAATTATCCCTTTTAAAATGTTATTGGCTTTATAAAATCAAAGAAAGTAAGGGATAATTTGTTCAAAATGTCTTGGGAGTTTCTTAAAAAAAATTACAGAAACTTCAAGCGCTCTAATCCAATTAGTACATTTAAGAAACTTTTATGATCGGTAATTCGTTTATTAGCCATGACAGATCAATGTGAAAATAAAGCTATTTCTTCTAAAAGTTTTTCTATAAAGTATTTCAAAAGTGGTGTACCAATAAAGATCGTATACTGAAAATTTTATTTTAAAAGCTGAAGGTTTAGGATCATCGCTTCCATTAGAGTTCATCGACCGCAAGGCAAACTATGGTCAATACGCTCCTTATACAATTATATTTGTGGTACGATGAGATTCCATGATAGTGCCAACTCTCCATAATTTTGATTCGGATGCTTGATCTCCTAGCACGCTATCGAAACAAGCCGAAAATCTTAGAAAATGACTGTATTCTGATAACGACTAACGAGGCTCATCTTAATAATATGTATATATTATATACATACATATAATATATATTAATAATATATATAATGAACCTCGGCTCTTTGCAAAGATGTAAAAGGAACAATATCGCCCCACATCGCCGAGGTCGATTGCGGGCGAGGCGCTGGATTTGATATGTCAACATAAAATCGTTAGCTTTGGAGGATTCTAGCACCTCGTTCGTCAGCGACCTCAGCAATTTGAGGTCAAGTGTTTACTTTGTATTTTTATCAAAATGTATAAGAAACGATTTCTCCTCACATCGCCGAGGTCGCTTGCGGGCGAGGCGCTAGATTTGATGTATTAACACGAAATACGCAGTTCTGGGGGATTGTAGCGCCTCGCTCGGATTATATTTAGGAGTATCAGTTAATAACGTAGCTATTGAGTCAATCAATCTGGCTGCTTCTAAACACATTTTTAACTAATTCGGTAAAGAACATAATAGATGAACATTTATGAATTCATTGCCTAATTTCTCGAAAAGTCTATATGACACAAAAAAAAATAAGTTATGAGTAAGTGAAAGGAAAATATTCCAGAAAGGTTTTAGTGTAAAATCAGTTATTCTATTCAGAATCGTTTGGCACACTACTTTTGATATATCCCATATACTTTTTCTTCTTCTTAAAAAAATATAAATTTTAATTCTAAACGATATCTAAAGCTAATATTCACAATGGGAATGGATTCACTACTCTATTAATCGACATTTTGGAATTTACTCTTCTATTTTTCTTAACCCTTTAACGCACTTTTTTTATGAATTTGTTAAGAAATAATAATTTGGTGCAATAAGTACGTTAAAGAGTTACGTTGTTTTACACCAAAAATTTTTATGTCTTGCTTGATTTTATTAATATAAAGATTTTATTAATTATAACATAAAATTCTCTAATATAAAACAACGTTTATCATCTATACAATTAGTTATTAATTTTTGTAACTAATTGTATAAAAAAGTTAATTTCTTTATCAAAATGACTCTAAATTCACTTCTTTGACACCTTTGGCATGTCGCCTCGTGTCGAATCCTCGCTAGACGTGAAAGTAGAAGATGTATCAATTCCAGAATCCCGATGACTATCCTGCGAACCCTGTCTATCCCATGCCTCGTGTTGATCGAAACGAACCGTTTTCTTTCTTCTCTCGGTGAAACATCGGTTGTCAGCTGTAACATCTTGTAGGGGACGATGTTGTTGAGGTGCCATGATGTAATGGCTCAACGGTGGCCAATCTCCATTACCCCCTAAACATTTTTCGTTATCTTACGTGTAATCTGAACTTACCAGTAGTATTTATAATTTTAATTAAGTAATAATTACTTTTTTTTATTTTTAATTTTCTACTCGATTTTTGACCCATTTGATTTAATTTCACTGAAAAGGAATTCTTTTAAATATTATGAGATGAATAATACAATGAAATTAAATTGATGAATGATGAACAAAAATGAGAAAGAACTTTATAGACCAGAAAACACACAAAAATAATTAAAATTAATAACTTGAAAGAAACGTTTTGTATGTTCAATAAAATGATTTTATCTTATTTTTGGTTAAATTTATTACGTTTTTATTGAACACACTAGATCTAGCACAAAAAGTAACAAAAACGAATGATAGATAGAGAGAGAGACCATCGTAGCAACAACGAGTTCCGATCATCTCTGCTGGTAGACGATAGCGAGTCTCTTCGCAAGATACGAATGTAATGCAAGAGGAAAACTTGTGTGCAAGCCGCGTGTAAATTCACCATGCAGACAACATAGACCAATTCTGCAAAAAAAGGTAGAGAGAGAGAAAAGGGGATCTCTGGACGTGCGCTCACCGCAAGAAATTTTTTGATTTTCTCATCTAAAATCGCCTGCCTGGTTAGTCTCTCTGACAGTTTCTTGTTTTCTTTTTCGTAAGCAACGTCCGCTTCCGTGGTAGGTCCACACGTTACTCTACTTACGTCTGTGTGGCCGCAACATCGTGTCAAATACATAAGAAATGATGTTAGTTTATCACTTTTGTAACAGACATACGCGAGGTATTTTTAAAATCTTTTTACCAACAAAAATAAGATGTTAAAACCGAAACTATTTTTTAAGGTGATTTCATTCAAATTTAACCGACAAAGGATTTATAATAATAATGGTGCTGGATTACATCTATAATACCATTTGTTTCGATTTATTTGAAAAATGTACGGCTTCAATCTTCAATAAGATACCGCAACACCAAGAAATATTTTTTGTATCTAAACTATGTCATTCTCAATCAAAATATACATACATACATATGAGAGATTCTTCATTCGTTAATGAGAGATTCTTAAAAGAAGGCAATATAACCTTTCTGCCTCGGCCGTAAGCGACCTCGGTCCAAAGCTGTAACATCGCAGTCTTAATATATAAATAACTATTATCCTCATATTATAATCCTTTAACTATTATCTAAAAGAAGAGATTGTAACACTTCTGCCTCAGCCGCAAGCGACCCAAAAATACGGATTTTAATGGTAATGATATGATATATATGTTAAATTGTTGCTTGAAGATTGTAGTTTATGATATGATATAAAAATTATATATTAATATTAATAAAATTTCTAAAAAAAAATTATTAGAGAAGATGCTGTCAAATTTACGAATATAAAATGTTCGAAAAAGCATATCATCTGTATTTTTAATGTTAATGATTTGATATATATGTTAAATTGAAGCTTTAAGTTTGTAAATTATGATATGATATAAAAACTATATGATGATATTAATAAAATTGCGAGATAATAATTATTAAAGAAAATGCTGTAAAATTTGCAAATATAAAATTATATAAAAATTTCAAAAAATCATATCCGTATTTTTAATGGTAATGATATTATATATGTGTTAAATTGAAGCTTAAAGATTTTAGTTTATGACATGATATAAAAACGATATGATGATATTAATAAAATTTCCAGATAATGATTACTAAAGAAAATGCTGTAAAATTTACAAATATAAAATAACATCAAATTTCAAAAAATCATATTATCTGTATTTTTAATTATTGTCATATGATATATATGTTAAATTAAAGCTTAAATACTCTAGTTTATGATGCGATATAAAAACTATATCATAATATTAATAAAATTTCCAGAAAAAAGATATTAAAGAAAACACTTCCAAATTTGCAAATATAAAATGACTTCAAATTTTTAAAAAATTATATCATCTGTATTTTTAATGATAATGATATGATGTATATGTTAAATTGGAGCTTAAAGATTGTAGTTTATGACATGATATAATAACTATATGATAATATTAATAAAATTTCCAGACAAAAATGATTAAAGAGGAAACTGTAAAATTTATGAATATGACATATTAAATTTTCAAAAAATCATATCATCTGTATTTTTAAAGGTAATGATATGATTTTTATGTTAAATTGAAGCTTAAAGATTCTAGTTTATGACATGATTTGTTACAACATCGCGGATTTAGTATATAAACAACTATTATCGTTAAATATACGAACATATTATTAATGAGAGATTCAGACTTACAAGAAGACAATGTAGTACTTCTGCCTCGGCCGCAAGCGACCTCGGCTAAAAGATACAACATCGCGGATTTAGTATATAAACAACTATTATCGTTAAATATACGAACATATTATTAATGAGAGATTCAGACTTACAAGAAGACAATGTAGTACTTCTGCCTCGGCCGCAAGCGACTTCGGCTAAAAGATACAACATCGCGGTCTTGGTATATAAATACTTATTATTGTCAAATATATATAACGAATAACTGGTTTAGACCTAAAAGAAGAAATTGATTGCGATGAAATCGATTGCGGCCGAGGCAGAAGAAATACTTCTACCTCGGCCACAATCGACCTCGGCTAAAAGCTACAACATTGCAGATTTGGTATATAAATAACTACCAAAGAAGTTTCTGGGTAATTAATTTTTACTTGAAAATAAACCAACATTATCACTTCATAAAAAAAGCTGACGCGTAACAATTTTCGTAACGACCATCAAACGGCCTTCACCTAACAAGTTCTTTTATCCCGTCGACACTCGTGACATAGATGTTTGCTCAGTACTTTTGTATCTCCATCTCCCTACAGTCTACGCATTGTGCAACCCTCGGACTCATCTAAATAATAAATTACCACCCCATTTCCCAGCGATTTTCGTTTAACATCCCCAAGGTTACCAAAATAAAAATCAACACTTTTTTATTAATATAAAACCAAATTCGAGATCAATTAATTTCGGTTTTAACATCTTTATTGATAAAAATACCGTCGGAAATCAAAGAGATTTTTGGGAGACAGACACACACACTTAATTTTTTCCCTGCAAAAAAATAATAGGTGAATAAAGGAATGATGAACGGAATGAACATGGGAGCAACAACGTTTCGTTATTACGATAGAGAACGCGTATCATCTTCGCGACGGCGACGGTGGTATCGGCGACGAAAGCTCACCGGAAACTGAGCAGACGACGACGACGTCGCTTCGGAAATACGTATGTTTGAACGCATCACACCTTAACTCTCTACGGACTCACCCTTTTCGCTGTCTCTCTCGTCGCTGCCGTATTCGGGCGTCGATTTTAGATCCTCCTCCGACGATGAAAAGGATGCTTGCAGTTGGGGATGAGATGGGTGGTGATGTTTTTTTGCTGACGCGATCCTTTTCTTTTTATTGGCACTACCCATACTGGATACACCTCTTTGAGGTATATCCATTGGTGAGGGTTCTGGTTCAGGATCTGGATATCTAAAATTATTAATAAAAAAAATATCATAGACATAGGAAATTAATCAAAAAGATTTAATTTTATATTGATTAAGACGCAAGGCTAAACCTAAAACTTTCTAGTAGAGCGTATGGTGTTGAATAACAACTAAAACTAAAACTAACAGTTGCACTATCATTACAACTAACACTAGAGATAGAAACATGTTAAAACATGTAGAAACACTGATTAACATATTAATGTTTCTTGTTTGATTAATAATGAATATTATTATATAAATTGATTTTATTTTTTACCTTCTAGGTACGAGATGTGGATGAGTTCGCATAAGACCCTCAATCTCGCCCTGATAAAATCTTGGATCATCTTCGTTGTACCCGCACGGAGGATTAGCCGATTCTTGCTCCGAATATTGCCTTCTAAGGGCACTTCCGGATCGCTGAAGAGGTTGGTTTTCCTTTTCGGCCGCCGAATGCGCCCTTTCCAGTTTCGGTCGTTTATCAAATGGTGGAATCTGTTGCGGTTGTTGAGGTATTTCCGTTTCGACCAAATTTATTCCACCGCTCATCCATTGACCGGTTTTACTCAACAATTCTTGTTTTTTTCGACAAAGAATACAAACCCACACAACCTATAATCAAAAAAAATCGGTAGGTTTTTAAATTTGTTAAAACCCCGGCGCCTCCACCTTTTTAATTGAAATAAAATGATTACTAAAATATCTATAGGTTTGAAAGAATTCGTATACAGCCTAAAGGCTTTTCTGTAGGTGAATTTAAAGTGTAAATTTCGGCCGAGGGCGCTGATGCCGTTACTGAATCGATATGGTGCGTCACATCCGGTTCCGTGACGTCAGAACTCCCACGCTTCACTCTACCACGGCGCCAACAATGGGCCGCCCACGTTACCATCTAGACCCGAACGTAGTCAATGGTTTGCCTCCGAGAATGATCCCGTGACTACATAAGAATAGTTTCCGGAATATACTAGAACATCTTTTAGGAATTAGAATCCTCCCAGATTCTCAAACCATTATTGATTACAAGATTACAATTAATTAAAAATGTTTGAATTGAAAAACAAAATTTAAAACAACTTCAAATTTAAAATCCTATTTGAAATAGTTTCACATACCTTATTGGACCTAAGCGTGACCTTTCCACCGCACCTGGCACAGCATCGAATCGAACAGTAGTTGCATATGTGTCCGATTCCGTCCGCGAACTTCGTCTTGAGACATATGTGGCACGTGGCGTCCAGTTCGATGCCGGCCTTCTTGTGCTGCTCGCTCCTAGACCTTATCGTGTCTTCCAGTATCTGAACTTCGTCGGCCTTTCGTCTGAAACAAAGACCATATTGTCCGTTAACGACACGGAGGAGGACGTTTAATTTTGGATGGTCTAAGTAGAGAATCGTGACTCCCAACTCCTTCCTTCGTCTTCACCACTCCTTATCGGGATCGCCCCATTATCGCCTCTAGCAAATGACGTACGACGCTTTGATCTCTCTTCGGCGATAACTCACGGCGATTGTCATGAATAATGGCGTGAATGGCGAAAAGAGCCCTTTTAGGAAAACGACCCTTGAATCGCTAATAGGGATTATCAAAATCTCTCAATTTAAATCTCCCCAACAAAAAGAAAAAAAAAAAGAAATGCTTATATTTCTACTTGGAATGTTTAATTATTTTAAAACTGATTTGTAATACAGAAAGTCGTAGGCGTACCGTTTTAATTAAATGGAAATTTATTAAGCGAAAATTGTTTGTGGAGTCACCCACGCGTGTATCCCGGGAAAATAGGCACGGGTCTTCCGATGGGAACATACCTGCTGCAGAATCGATGAATCGCATCGTGGACAAAGGGCAAAGATCAACGGCTTCACGGTTTTCGAGAAATGGCCACTGGTTGATGGATACGATAAATGAAAGTTTTCCCGGAAATAGGAATATAAATTTTCCTTTACACGTTTATTCATGTTCAGAAACCACGCATAAATTAAAAATAGAATCGTGATAAATACAATACTGGGTGGAACTTAATACACATAATTAAATTAACAATATCCCTAATTTAAATGTAATTTTACACTTGTCAAATTGTTGTAAGTTGGTAACCATTGGTAAGATTAACAGGAAATTTAATTATAATAAATCATGTTTTCAAATCAACTTTTCGATTCTAAAATTACACTTATATAATTTTAATTTGGTATCAAATTGTTTATTTTCATTAATTTGTATTCAATTCAAATTTCAGTAATTTGTAGTAAAAATCAGAAAAGTACATAAATAACACCAACCGAAACCCTAAAAATTTGACTTTGACAGGAATAGAAAAAAAAATAACCTCTAAAAGTTGATATTCTTTTTAAATTAAATAAGAGGGAATTAAACTAAAATTAGTTTAAGCAGTTACGTACCAGGTACGGTTATACGAAGAAACTTCAAACTGGCTTGGTCCATACACAAAGGGCTATTTAATGTAAATAGATTAAGTAATGTTTCAAAAGACATTAGAGCAAACGCTTCAGGGACTCGAGGATGTTGCAAATTATGTTGTTGATATAATTATTGCGGGTAGTATAAGAGAAAAACGATTTTACGAGTGAAGCAGAAAATACACGAAGATTACACAGCATCATTTAGAATGGCGAAAACAGATTATAACTTTTCAAGATGCAAACATAAACGCTTATATTTATAAAGTTTGATGTTATAACAGAGAAGAATGTACGATTTCCGCTGGTCCAGGTAGCTGAAGTTGTAGTCTCACGATAATGAAGATACTTTTACTCTGAATCAAGAGATTGGTTTTGTCTTCCTTGCTCCTTAACCCAATCTTACTTCTTGTGGTTTCGTGCTTTGCAAAAGTTTCCTTGACTTTCAAGGATGTTAAAGTCATCTGCATATTCCACCATTTGGACGGATTTGTTCATCAAGGTTGCATTTAGATGGACTCTGGTTCTTCTTATAATATATTCCAGCGTATTCCAGTAACTCGGCATGTGCTGTGTAATATTGTGTATTTGAGCAGCCTCACTAATTTAGATGGTGCATTGACGCTGTAGTAAGCTTGTTTGAAGTCTATAAATAGCTGATGGATATTAAACTCTCAGAACTTTTAGTATAGTTGTCTGGTGATAAAGAACATAACAGTGTCTTGGAACGAGTAGCTCCAATATGACAAATTTGATCCTTGATGTTATTACTTAATTGAATTCTTTTGGCAGACAACATGGTAATACATAGCAAAATGACTATGATATAGTCTTCCTTTAATTAGCTGCTTCATTCACTAAACTGCGGCTGTTGACCTAATCGCCTACAACATGAAAATATCCACGTGGCATGAAATTAAGCAGAAACTTTAATTAGAGTATGAATCGCACCAATAATGTCAGAAACAAATAATTGTTAGCCGAAACGATATGAATCGAAATATCACCTATTCATTCATAGATACGATTCTTTAAGTGTCATAAGGAGAATTTAGTAGCAATTACAAAGACTATTATACAACACTAATTTAAATAAGAGATGGGATTATTAATTGATGTGTCAAAGCTTAATTGATATGATTGTGCGTACTCAATATATATCTTAAACATGATATTACAGAAATCTAACTTTTAATGTAACTACATAAGCGTTGTTGTTATCGCATCAATTTGTGAATATATAAGATGATGGGTCTATATCAAGAATCCTTAAATTTTTAGAGATGCGCTTGATACATTCAATATGTGAAGCTATAATTTAGAATCAATTGGAGTCGGTGTTATCAAAAAATATGTTGGTTAATTTATCAAGTTGGTTCTTTTTGAGTCTCCTACTATCTGCAATGTTCATAACAAATCAAAATATGGATTACTTATTGTATATTTAATAGAATCTTTTTTATTAAGTCTAAATCGATCAATATGGGTAGAGGGATTTAAAAATATATGAAAGACCGTCCAATACTCAATTCTCATCTAATTGAAACCGACACTGACATTATCCGCGACCAGCACACTAACGGCGACCGTACCATATCGATTTCGCATCTGTAAACCTCCGTCTAAAAATAAACAGAATTTGACCGAGTAAAGACGACGAGGAACAGTCGACATTTCAGATGGAAATATTGTTTAATACGGAAAAAATAATTTATATTCTCAATTTAAATTTTTTAAATATTTAAACATAAAACAAGAACTTTGTATTTTACCTCATAATTTCCTGTTCTCGTTCCTCCTCCTGTCGTTGACGCATCATCACCGATTCAATGATGGCCCTCTCCTCAGGAGTAAGGTGAGACAGATCGGGCCCCTCCTCCATTTTGTCCAGCAACAACATCGGCAACTCTTAAAAGAAAAATTTTCGCAACCGACGACTTATTCTACGTATCGCAACACCTCGGCATCCGCCACCACCGGATGAGGATCTCGTCCATCTTTGGAATCCCGAATCAGTTCCACTTTTCGCGATACGAGACGAGAAAAAAAATCAGTCTCAATCCCCCGGATTCGCGAACTAAATCTTAAAACGACCAGTTTCTTGGACGCGGTTTTCCGTTCGTTCGTTCGCGTTTAGTTCTTGCGGTGGACGCCGAACGTCGGCCAAATATCACAGTTTGCCGTATTCCATTCATACGCTGTTAATAAATAATAGGATGAGTCGAGATCGGCCAATCGGAGTCGTGGTACTCCGGTTGCGTCACGGAACGTCAAGTATTGATCTCAAAAGCTTTTCCGGGCAAGCGCTTCATGAGTTGGACTTTAATATGCAGCGCCATCTTTGCGGCGACGCTGTTGTACTAAGGAAGGACGCCCACACTTTTTTATCTTTCTCGTAGGGTATACAGAAATCCGGGGATATAACCTTTAACACCCACGTGGGTAACACCTATGATAAATAAACACCTACAGAGCTTTGATAAATAATTAATATTCAAACAAGAAATTAATTATGTTTTCTTTATGAAATTTTTTTGAAATATATTGAAGTTTATTTTGAAACATTTTCATTCATTATTTTAAAGATTTAAATTATTATTTGAAGAGAAAAAACAAAGAAAGCTGTTTATCACTGATATAGATTGTCTCACGATACACAAACCTCCTGAAGCATAACACAACTAAATACATCGACCAGAGGAGTTTGGTTACAGATGATCAAAAATAGTCTGCAATACCGATGAATATAACACCAATGACAATAAATTGGGGGCAAGTGCAAAAGAATATATTTACCTAGAACACACCATGCCATGAGGATGGGTAAAGAAAATCAGACAGCTGAGATAATGTGCAGAATACAAGTGACATAGGCAAATAATAGTACATACTGAGAAAAGGAGACTGATAACTTATGCCTACTATCAGTGAGGAAAAAATCATGGTAACATATGAAAGCGTTTTTCATCTAGAAGCTGATGGCTGAAGAGCGAAATATAAGCAAATTCTACATATACAGTGTGCTATAGAATGCGGCTATGGGGCTGCGACAGAGAGTCCAACATCCAAGTAATCCAACGTTTCCAGAACAAAGTGCTAAGGTTTATAGATTTGATACGTGCTTAATAGTGACTTACATCGTGACCTAGAGATTGGTCAAGATAAGACGAGAGAGACCTAGAAATCGGACAACCATCCCGAAAATATTTTAAATCCAGAAATCGGGATGGAACGTAAAATAAATATGATTTTGTACACAGCTTTTATTGAAGATTGAGACCAGATTACATTGTATTCTCAAATGTATGCTTGTCCATATAAAAAATACACCGGTAGTCGTCAATAAAAATAAAACAAACGTTTTTCGTTGGCGAAGGTTCGCCAAAACCTGCTACGCGAACGTGCATTATTAAGATTGTGCCAAAGTGCACGGACTCCCCGCGGTCTACTTCAATGTTATTCGTTGCACTTTCTGTAAGAATTTCTGCATATTTTAGTGATCGCGTGAAATTTCTTTTTAAATTTATAAAGACAATCTTAATTAGGTATCAAGAAAAAAGTTAAATTTCTTACTGCAAAATATTTTTTTATTTCAACACAAAGTTTATAAAACTTAAAAAAAAAGTCAAAGCATTCCCATTAACCAGAATATGACCAGAATGTTTTCTTAATACATCTTATTATTAACGTAAATCTGGAGTACTCGCACCTAAATAACATCTAAGATCGCTAATATTAGATTTTATTAGTTTAGCTCGAATCGTTTCTGTATTTAAGCGTTTATGAGCAATATATCTATGACATCCACCAAAACTGTAATAATAATTCCCTCCTTCTTTCCCAACAATCCATAAAACATCGATTGGAGTTACTTGATCGATCGTTTCCGGGTTCGAAATTGCTTCCATTAAAGATTTCACTTTTTCTTCGTTTACTTCCGGCGGAAACGGCCGAATTAATGCGCTTAAAGGAACGTCGTATATCTCGTTTATATTTGCGGCGTGAATACTCGTCATTGTTCCTACAAAAAAACACAAAAAATTGATATGGTGTAAACGATTTGTGTTAATTTAAAAATGTTGGTGCATAAACAAAAAATGTGCGCAAAATAATCTCATTGAACCAACCTGTTAATCCAAGAATGCTTGAATAAAAAAAATTTTTTTTATACCAATGGACAGTGTGCAATTGAAACGAGACTTGCACTATAATCAATGTGTCAATAGTTATTTAAAGAAATCTCTAATGCATTCAGCTCTCGACAAGACCTAATTCCGTAAATGGCAATGCCTTGTCAATAAAAGAACGTTATCGGTTTTACAACACGAACTCTTTTTTGTTATATCACCAAAATCACAGATTTAACTCAAATAAATTTAAAAAAAATACATGTATAAATAAAAAAAAAATTGTGCATAAAAATTAGAATTCGTGGTGTCAGCTCTTACTTGAAACAATCTTGAGATAGTTCTTCGTTAAGATCACGGAGATCATTCAAGTGGAGTGTTCACGATCACAATACAAAATAAAAAGTGAGTCGAGTGCCTTAGAGCTACTTGACGTAGCCCCCACTTTTTTTTGTTTGTTATAAAGTATACACAGATAACCAAGCAGTCAATAAACGTATCCTTCGGGAGTTTGCCGATTAATAATGCACGACAACCTCGGGTTTGCATCGACGAGAAATAGTTCATTAAAATATTTAAGAAATAACTCACGATTTTACTATTCTCCAATCACATTTACGTAGGGCGTGGAATATAGTCACGATGCGATCAACCAAGGTTATTATTAGCACCAAATAATGAGAGTCATGACTCAACAAAATTAAAACGATTTATTAAAAAATTTAAGTTTATGATTTTCGTGTAATTATATTTTGTTAAATAAAAAAATTTTAATATTTGATTAAAAGAACATATTCAAGGTTGAATTCTTTGTGAATTGGGAGATAACTTAGGGTTTATATGTTATTTTTAGAACTTCTCATAATCTTTATTGAGCGAATCTAAACATTTTAATAAATTTAAAAGCAGAATATGTATGTTTGAAATCTTCAAGATATAATGAATCTCCAAAAATACCGCCTCAACCGTAAGAGACCTCTGCGATTAATACATCTCGAAACCACGAAGTTTTATCTTTCTTCTTTATCTATCATCTCAGCCACAAGCGGTTTTCGCTGCTCCACGACTCAAAGTTGTGATGTTTTATCACTTACGAGTGTGATATATAGCAGCCGAATATGTCTTTGCTTAAAATCTTTAAGATATGGCTGTGAGCAGTTTCTGCTGCAACACATCCCAATACTGTGAAGTTTTCTTCTTTGATAAACGTGATCAAGACATGATAAGTGGAACGAGTCTGAAATATAGCTGCTCATTAATGCGGATGTGTCTTGCCATTTTCTTTAATCAGGTTTTTACAACAAACCAATTCGTTGGATATGGCACGGAGGTTATTAGCCCAATAGAATAAGGTGTTCCTTTCATCATCGAATTTCGCAAGAATCGTTTGATCTCCAAGATATCGATTAACCTTATACTAGTGCTACTGCCAAGAAGGTTTCAACCTAAGACCTGAATAGATTAGCAACAATTAATTCAAAATGCCTTATTACTGCTTGTGTCGTTATCGCGATTATTTCATTCTGGTGAGTTAGGTTGGTTTGACAATCGATTTCTTCAGGGTGGCCCAAGTCGTTTCTTTGACTCCAGGATATCCTACAATTGACACGTCGTAGTACGCATGCAAGACGTAGTTGACAACCTAAGACAATAGCCTCGTGAGTTGCGATTAACGAATTACGGGTGTTAAGATTTCGGCGGTAACTATTTGTTACGGCGTTAAATGATGATCTTGAAGATCGTTTGTGACAATTTCATTCAAATCACACTGCCTTATTTCCTGGTTCCGGCTTTTCAACGGAATTCAATTCTCTAGGATTAACACTGAATCATATCCTATCGTAAAATATTTGCAAATAATTGGATACAAGGTAAGACAATTATTGAGTGGGTTTGTAAAGGTTTATGGATAAAATTAGGGATTACATACAAATTTGTAGTCACAGAAAAGTGCAACTCATGATCATGTAAAATTCAAGTATTTTTTGTAGACTCTATCCAAAGAGGCTAGCGATATGATATATAATTTGCTATTGTATATATTGTTTCATATCATTAGTATCATTAGTAGAAATTAGTAACACAAGCTATAAAAGCAGTTAATACTACGCAAATTCAAAACATGCAATTATTTTTTATTGTACATTTTTTTCTTCTTAAACAGGCTGAGTCAAAGTATCAATGTAGTATTTGTGATGTTAGAGTGATACTAATTATAAAAACTTACCAGAAGTGAAATAAGTTATGGATGGCATGATTAAAAAATTAATTTGACACCTTTCAATGTTTTTATTTCAATTCATTGTTATCTAGATTCCGATTAATACTTTGATTCACCTGTATAATCTACCCCAACGCATCAATTTTACCTGTAAATCTTTTAAATACAAGAAAATCACATTTTTGGTAAGAATCTACATCTCAAGACTACCGACCGCACTCGAAATGCTTCCTTGCTTTTGAAAGATTTTTATTTGTTGTTCAATGTAAGTATCAACGTAAATTATTATATAATTTCTCTAAAAATATTCATGCAATCAATTAATAATTAGTATTTGTTAGTTTACTATTTAGAATTAACCTAATAAAGATATTTAAATAAAATTTCATCAATTCTGTGATTTGAAAATGATTTATTCATTATAAATGTACATACATAATAAGGGAATTATGTATTATTTCGCAGAATAAAAGGGGATGATGTTAAATTAAGCCTACAAGGACACAAACTTTGTAATAAGAATTCTTTACGGTTAAAAAAAGTAAAAACAGCCTCTTAACGTACCTTTTTCATAATGCATTATTTATTATTCTTTCTTTTTTAAATATCTTAAACAGAAAAATAAAGATGGTATGTCAAAGAAACAAGTTTTAACAAGTTTTTGTTAGCAATTACTTACTTTAAATTTTTTCATTGTACCTCAAACGCAAAGTTACAATAAAACCATATGTTACAATTTTGCATAGAAATTAATCTCGACTCTTTAATATAGTAATAGGAAAAAAGGGAATTAAAAAAAACGATTTCTTTCTTCTATTCTTATTTATGAGTACGCATAATAAACGTCAATTTTCAATTTATCTATTTAGGACAAGATTATTATTAATTTTAATTAAATGAAAATGACCAGCAGCCTAAAAAATTTGTCCGAAACAAAAATTATTAATAAAATTAATAAACGTTACGCGTTTTAATTAATACGAGGAAATTAATAACTTTTCAACACTAGTTTTTCGTTTTAATTGCCAACAACCCGGCGTTATTATTTAAACAGCAAACAAAATGTACTTTTTATTTATTACGCATAATGTTTATTACCTAAATAATTACACCAATCCCCAAAACTACAACAAACAAAAAATATTAAGAAAAAATAATAAGAAAAATAAAGAAATAAATAGCACAAACCAGTATTGAAAAATATGAAAAAGAAGAATATACCCCATAAACAAATTTAATACATTATGGGCGACTGGTAAATTTCATAAATAATTCGATAAATACCTACATTGACATTTATTATCGTCTTTTGGTGAAGTAAAAGATCTGCACGCGATATACGCCTTATTATTTTTATTTTAAATATATATTTTTTACATAAATATAGTCTTTAATAAAAAAATTTTTTAAAAACAAATTTATTAGCTTGATTCCTATAAACAAATTCTTTCTTTTATAAGAAAAAAAATTTCTCTTACGTGCAAAAAAATTATTTAAAAAAAACCAATCGGGTTCAGATCTTTTCCGTATGCTCGATCATTTTAGTAATCATCATTTCCCGACGTTTCCGTTTCCATCGAATCTTTCAGTCGCAATGTGTCTCATCGTAGCGCGCCCCTCGTTAATTATTAATTTTATTTATTTTTGCAACAAAACTAAATAACGAATACTGAGAGAACGTTTTAGTAATTTTTTTTTTTTAAGAATTTACATCGGTATAAAAATTCTCTATATACAAACATATATATGGAGCAACCCGGACGGACACTCAAACAAAAAAAAATTATAACTATGAAAAGAAAAATTATTAACCGAGTAATAAACGGTTTATTCTATTTATTTATACGACGGGATAACGCGTTGGTAAAATGATCGGACATGGTTTCCCCTATTCATTAATTTTTTTTAATAGTCACTTATGTTTCTTTCTTTTTTTAAAATAAATGGAAGCGTTTTCGAGTGAAATATGTTTCATACGAACGTAAGGATCAGAATTTAAAACCTTCATTCGGCACGTTCGTCGCAGTACCAAATTCGAAATCAGCAACACCAGGTGATGGCACTATTGAAGGATCATCATCAATCTAAAATCATATTCATTAATTAAATTCAATTCTTTTTTTAATTTTAATCCACGTACATCGCCATTAAAGTAATTTTCAATGATATCATACGCCAATTTATAAATTTCGATATTGTCATGATTCTGTAGGTTCTCAATTTTATCCAAGCCGTTGCACTCCTCGATCATCGCGCACAATTGTTCTACGTCGGGTCCGGCCATTTTTAACATATTTATGATACCATCAAGTACAACTTGAATAACTTGGGCGTCTTTACATGTCAGTAAGTCGCAGAACGGTGGAATAACACCCGCTCTAATTAATTTTGCAACTTGCTCTCTACTACCTCCTATTGTCAAATTACTAATTGCCCAAGCGGCTTCTTTTTGCGTTTGAAATTCACCTTTACTCAAATTCAAAATAATTGCTGGTAACAAATCTATAACAAAAAAAATATTAAGAAGTCTAGAATTAATGGATTAAAAATAAATTCACCAGCATCAATGACAGCTTGAACTTGAGATTGATTTCCAGCTGTAATATTTGACAAGAACCATACAGCTTCTTTGCATATTTTATCTTTTGAATGATTTAATAGGCTTGGCAAATAAGATAACACCTCGCAGTTTAACACAACCTTAATTAATGCAAATTAATAAAATATTCATTTTTAGGTTATGTACAGGGTGGGTAAATTTAGGTGTTATTATAGATAGGCTATCTCAGAAACTATAAGAGTACCACTTTTTTGAGTAGAATATACTGCTGTTGAAAAATTTTAAACATAGCTGATAATTTTTGAGATTAAACATAAAGTTGCATATATAAATTACATATACATAGAATACATTGGAGTCCACTTTGAAGATGATACAGTCTTCATATCCCCATTGAAACGCTCCCAGTTTATGATCCCTAATCTTCCTCTATCTCACCCAATTTCAAAACAAAAGGTTGCTAATATCCAAAAACTTCAAAATTTTATGTTTGGGGAGAACTGAGAAAATGCATGCGCCTACACCAGAACGTTAGTCCAATAACACAAGGTAGTCAACACCTCGCTACGGATACTGCCCAACTGTTTTAAAATGTAAGTATTTTCAGAACTTCTTCTGCACTATCTCGAGCATGAGCTGGTGAGAAGCATAACAAGGATACCAAACCAGGGAACCATATTCCAACTTTCTAGGAACAAACGCATAGAAAAGTACTGTTAATGCGGCTATGTTGTTAAATTTTTTACATTGTCTGATGATTAAACTTAATGGACCACCAGAGGCTGCCTTTACTATAGCGTTAACATGGTCTTTGAATTGAATAAGACACCCAGATCTCGAATAGCGCATTCTCTGTGTATTGCTTCAACTCCCACACAATAGTTAAACGTTATTGAGTTATTACACCTTGTGTAAGATACGACAACGCATTTTGCTATATTAAGATCAACTCCATTCTGTACAGACCACGAACTGAAAATGTTCAGATTGAGCTGTAAGATAACACAGTTTTCAGGGGATGTTACATGAGCGAATATCTTTAAGACATCGGCGTAAGCAAACACATTACAATCAAGGCGTCGTAATAGATCATTCAGATAAATATTGAAAAGAAGGAGACCCAGGTTGGAACCCCATGGAACACCAGTGCCAGCAGTGAACGTATCAGATTTAAAACTCATAGCAAAGTCTATTGAAGACATAAAATCCAAGGATGCAGAGTTTAGAAAGAAGTATTCCATAATCTAATCTATTAAATGTCTTTGTAAAATTTGGGTAAATTATATCAACTTGTTGCCGTTTATCCATGTGCTCGCTGATAAACTGCGTTACCTCTGCGAAATTAGTGATAGTTGAACGACAAGTCATAAATTCGTGCTGATGATCAGATATACAGGGTGTATCAGGTATGAGTAGAAAAAATTTGAGGGGTTATAGGTCCCTTTTTATGAATAAAAAATTCTTATAACACAATGTTGCGTTGCAAGGGTTTGAAAGTTTAAGTACTGCTGTATAAAGAATTATACTAAGCAGGCTTTGCTTATGTATATAGCTTTAATTTGACACATATAAGCCATTTTTCAGTCATTTCATAAATTTATCACTCTTTAATGTGAAAATTTACAAAAATTTAGGTTTTAATAAATAAACATGCTATTAAAAACAACAAAATTACAAAACTAGAAACAAATTAGAAATTGCAAAGCAAAGCCTGCTTAGTATAATTCATTAACCAGTAGTACTCAAACTTCTGAACCCTTAACTTTATTGTATCATATCTTAAGAAGGACAAAGAATGGGACATTGTGTTATAAGAATTTTTTATTCAGAAAGAGGAGACCTATAACCCCTCAAATTTTTTCTACTCATACCTGATATACCCTGTATATGGGCGAACACACTAGTCCATTCTGGAGTATAGCAACATCTTTGTTGCATCATCAAGACCTTTGAGCAATTGTTCAAAATGCTAATAGGGGAGAAATTTTCAATACTAAATCTATCTTCCTTTTTAAAAACTGGCGTTATCCGACTTTTTTCCATATCGCAGGACAAGTTTTTGTTTTTAAGCATAAATTAAATATAAAGGTTAAAGGTCTGCTGAGGAAGGGTGCCCAATCTTTAATAATAAAACTTGAGAGACCGTCGTCGCCAGCAGTAAAGTCATTTTTCAATTGTATACAGATTTCTACCTCCTCGTCAGAAAATGGAGTAATGTAATCCAGGACAGTTGATTTGCTGGTTACAGTTATTGATAGTTGTAGGTCCAGGATTGAAGGCTTCAGAAAACAAGACAGAGAAGGCCTGCACTATTCCCAGGGGATCAGAGATTTCGGCACAAGCAAAGGTTATACAGCCTGGAATACGTGACTTACCACGTTTCTGATTCACGTAACGCCAGAACTTTTTGGAGTCGGTGGATATACAATTTTCACAATTTTAATTATTCATTAATTAATACGTTTCTTGTATTTTTAATAAACAAACTTTACTTACAAACCATTTCTTATTGGTGAACAGTCAGGGATAAGGCGCTGAGAAATTTAAATTAACTATTCAAAGCTTTTATTTATTGGTACAAAACCAACTTCATTCTGTCATATTCATGCAAAACCATATAGCAACTATGTAGTATTTACTGTCCAAACCCGCCTGCTATAATCAAAATTTTGAACATTAGCGCTAAAAATATATAATCATATAGTAACATCATAATCAACTATAGTTTGTATTAAAAAAAAACTTTGTATTATATCTCATGGCCCCTCTTCACTATGGCTCATACTGGGCCACTAGAATGGCCACCATTGATGATGGTTAGCATGTTTGCTTCCACACAGTGGTATAGTCTAGATGGCCCACCTAATGGACCACTCCAATTTAGTTATGCAATGATGTTAGCAATGATGGCCCACTGTGTGAACATGCCACTGCGCAGTTAGCTGCGCATGATGGCGCCCTTTGATGTGTGGTGTCCGACTGCTCCCAGCCATCCTTTGCCATTACCATTGCCATCACCATTATCCGCCACTTATGACCACTTCAGGCCCCTCTACACAATGGCGATGGCTCGCAGTGGTCTATGATAAGATAAGCCATAGTGAAGAGGGGCCATCAAAAATCATTATGCATATTCTACTTAAAAAAGTGTCTTAAGAACGTATCAACCCCATTTCTCAAACTTCAAAAATAAACAAAATATGAGCATTTTTCACTCATCACGAAAATTTCACTTTTTGGCTATAACTGTTTAAGTTAAAAATTGATGTTATCAAAAGTAGATAGAGGTTTAGTGTTTGTGGGATTGGATTAGTCTCAAAAAAAAGAGACTAGGACATGGCGTCTACTTTTTTCGTATCTCTTATAGTTTTTGAGATAGCCTATAATAACACCCAAATTTGTCTACCCTGTACAAATAAAAAAACTTACTTGTGTTTGTTCATCAGTACCGGTTACAATATTTCCCACCGCCCTTAAAGCAGCCGTCTGCACTTTAACATCTTTATGAGAAAGTAAAGGTATTAATTTGGGTACTACACCGCTATCTATCACCATTTGAATCTGTTCATTTCCACCATCCGTTAAATAACTTAATGCCCAAACTGTATCTATTAAAATCTATAATAAAAATTGAAATATTTCAAACCGTTGATTTTATTATTATAATACAGTATAACCTCGATATAACTGATCACATATTAATCAAGGTTTTACCATATTATTTAAACTACTTACATTTACATCTACGTGATGTATTAACGCATTCAAAGCGGGCAGTAATTTTTTAATCGTATGAATGGGCGGTGCAGGATCTTTGTTTCTACACAAATTAACAATAACCCAAGTAACGTTCCTTAAGAACGTTATGGGTATTTCCGGTTTGAGAAACGACAATAAAGGATCGACGATACCCAACTCAATGACATAATCCCTAAGACATGGTCCATCCCCGATAATATTACCCAAAGCCCATACGGATTGTTCGCAAACGTTCGTTTGCGGCGATTTTAACAATTCCAAAAATAATGGTACCGCTCCGGCTTGCACCACTCGATTGGTTTGGGCCGAATTTCCAGACGCAATGTTCGTTAGCGCCCATGCTGCTTCGAATTGTAACGCGGGGTTCGTGTGTTCTTTTAAGCATCGGACGAGTATTGGGAGGATGTTGCTGGCGATGAGAGCGTCGATCGGGGGATTCCGATCGGATGAGAGTAATTTTCGGGCTGATTGGACAGCTGAAAGCTGGATTTGTGGGTTTGAGAAGTCGGACGCTTGGGCGACGAGATCTTCGAGTTTGATGTTGACGAGACTCTTATCGGCGTCGTCTTCGTCTGTTGAATCTGTTATTGGGACGTTTCGTCGTTTTTGTAACGTTTCCTCTCGTTTATTTTTTCTAAGTTCAACAGTTACTTCGTTACGTCTCCTTCGCATCTCCTAGAGATAATCATTTTTATATAAAATTCTATATTTATTTGTTTAAATATATTAAGAGTTATGAAACAAATCTAATTGTAAGTAGTTATTTTAAGAAAATCAGTCAAAACAAAGTTATAATTCCAAAAATATACACAACAGAAAGTTTGGTTTTAAGGTGTTAGAGGATGACGTGGTTAAAAAAAAACAATTTTTAAAAACACGAGATAATGAAGTTATTTCTTATCACAAAGAATCGTATATTTTCAAGTGTCTAATCATAATAGGACAATGTGCAACTAAACTATTATGAACGCTCTAGAAAGTGAGGTTATGTTTAAAAAGTAATAAATAAAAACTTAATTCCTAAGAATTTCCACATAACTCAATCAATCCCAAATGGAAATATTTAAGGAAAATTACTAACGATTGGATAAACGTAAAAATAAGGCCACATTTGACATGTGTAAGAAAAAAAATGACCTTTACATTTTTCATTTCCACGTTACACCCCCCCAAATGAAATCAATTAATCCAAACCTCTCACCTCGTTAATTTCTTAATTACAATAAAAAGAACCCCACAAATTGATAAAAAATAGTACTTACATCTTGATCCTTGCCTTTGTTCTTGAACACTTGCATTCGATTCTTGAAGTGCGATTCGGACGCCATTTTCGACGTAATTTGACAATGTGATAACCGTTCACTAAAAATGCCGGCTAAACTGGGTATAGTATGTATAGATATTTTGGGTTGTTCGCGACGCAAAGAGAGAGAGTCTGTCGTCGTTGCGCTCGATCGTGTTTCGGTACCACTCTATATACAAAAGTTTCAATGGTACATAATCCGGCCTCTATCTTATTGCTTCGCTTCGTAGCTCGGTTTCGATGACGGATGAATTATTTTTTTTTACAACAACTCGCTTTCTCAGTTCATCTCGAAACAGCAACGACGACGTGTTATTTCGTTTTCGCTTGTTCCTTTTTTTTAATAAATCGCGAATGTCAAACGCGGCACATGTCAAATGGAAACCGAGCACAGTGCTGCCGTCTTTTACGTTTACGGCCAATATGGCGAAATTCAATTTCCTTTTAAGTCTTGTTTACACGATCGTTCATTATAACGAATCATTTTATTATAAATTAGAATTTAGTTTGTTTATATTTATTATTTTTAATGTTGTTTTAAGATAGTAACAAAGTCAATATTTCTTTTAATACAAAAATTGGTTCATTTTATAATTATTAAGATAAAATTAATGTGACGTGTAAATATGACTTTAAGGCTAAGTTCATTAGCTTAAATATTTTATTTTAATTTTTTAAATTATTTAATAAAATTAATTAAAATATTTTGTAATTATTATAATAATTTTATAACATTATTTAATAATCAATATTATTTTTATTTTTTATTGTTTTTATACTAAGAGGAGTGAATATAAAATTTAGATATTTATTTATTAACAAAAAAATGTAAATACTTTAATATTAATTATAATTATTTTAAACATCAATCTCAGGTACTATCCAATTCTAAATTTTTTAATATTTACGTATATTAATCACTTTAACCCAATAATTAAATCTGTATTTCTATTCCAAATTATCACCATATGAAATCTCAGCTATGCTGTTATCACTAATAACATTAATAATAATTAATAATGATTCCTTGACATTATTATCACAGTTGGTTACTCCTGTTAGAATACTCCCATGATTTCTCTTTATATGCCTACAAAAAAGTACACATTATAACATAACTTTATTAATAAAAGTGATATCGTTGGATTCATTGGATAATCCAAGTAATGATGTATTTCTTGTAAAGGTTTTTCTGATCCAATATCTTACCTCCTTTTTCAGAGGCGAAACTTATGAATTACTACTTAACTTAGGATCTTTATTTAATTCTAAGAAAACCTAATTGACTCAATTAAATTGAAATAACCTAACCTATAAGTTCAAAATGCTGTCAAAATAAAGAAAGCTCAATTTTAGTTACAAACTTAAAATAATCCTCTTAATTTAAATTATAATTTTGAGAAAATTGCAAGGTGCTTCTTACTTTAATAACATTTATTGTAATTATAAATAACTTTCAATAACATGTTCAGGAATTAATAAACAATGACTTAAACCTGTATTGAATTTAATTGTTCATTGTTAAAAGAAAATATTTTAATACTTCAATAATTATTTTATTAATATACTAATAAAAGAATTTTATTGTTTAATTTATAAATTATTTAAAATGTTTTTTTAATGATTATAAGAAAATGTATAGTAACTTTAAACATTTTTAGGTTGTTCATTCTGGGAAGAAAACCTGTAAACGCCATCTGACGGTGGACGTAATTAATTAAATCGTACGTTTGCTGGTGTCTGGTTTTTGAGGGTGGGAGGCTTCGGATCGGCAGATAATCTTGTTTATACGTTTTCTATACGTATGTGTTTTAAAGGAACATGTCGAGTCTTAAACACGGTAAGTCAATCTTTTATTTTAAAAATTTGGAAATCATCAAGAAGTTAGTTTCGTGGCCCCCCGGGTGGTGAAAAAGGACGGTACGTTAATCGCCGGCGGTTCACGTCCCACCCCCGTAATTGTCACAATCCAAGAAACACCGCTGTTGCCGTCGTCGCCGCTCCTCCTCCTCCTGCTGTTGCTTGACACATTCGGGCCCCCTCTAGCAATGAGCATTGTTATGATAATCTTGCATCTATTCGTGATTCATATAGACAAAAAAAGAAAAAAGGCTGTGCGTGTGTTATAAAAAAGTAATACAAACAGAAAAAAAAGTACAACTAGAAGTTTGTTTCCTTGGTTTTGTTATTGTTGTTGTCCATTTTCCAAAGTTTTCTTTCATCTTGTTGGTGTAAATTGTAAATAATAACCAAATGGGAAACACTTTCTAGTGACCTAGACATTTGATTGAATACAAATTGAATAATACGCCTAGCGTATGTGTTAGCCGTTTTGTCAGTAGGTGCATAAATTTAAATCCGTTTTATTTTTGGCACGATTCTTCGTTTTGATCTTATTTCTTTTTATTCCTTTTCTTTTATATATTTTCTAAGATCAACTCTGACACCTACAATGTTTGTTTATCCATAGCGTTTTCTAATTCATAAATTTCTTATAGTAAATAGAATATTTATAATTAGGTCATTAAGTATGATATTAATTTCTTTTTACATCCACATCGTTTTTAATACGAAATTTTTAACACCGAATTTCCAGGAAAACCTTAAAATAATTTCTACACTATTTTAAACCGCAGAATGACACACATTTAGTTTAAAACTCAATTTGATTTACTTATAAATTTTATTTTACATATTTTGACAGTTATAGTTCAACTAGCGCCATCTATTAGCATAAATTAGTATTTTGTCACAATAAATAAATGTATTTTATGATTTTTTATCAAATATTTTTATTATTTATGTTAATTAATATTAAAGTCTTATTCACCTCATAAAATTATGATATGCAATTTTTAATTGCGGGTGTGATATCAAATTTGTGATGTATTCACTTTATTCCTCGATATAATATGTGAGGTGATTGTAAGTATGATGTTAATTTGTAAAGATGAAGTTATATGATTGAAATAAACTTGTTTTATTAAGTTTGACAATTACAATATCACTACGGTATTCATTGATATCACAAAAAAATAATAACAATGGCCACATTCATTAGGAAATTCAGTTATCATTCAGTCCTTTGGTTAAGAAAAAACGCTGAAACTACTAGCTAGTGATCATATTGCACACATATTGACCGCAAGCGACCTTGTCTTAATTAGCCAAAAGAACCACAACTTTACCTGATAAAGCAGTATAATATGATAACCAGTATCAAGCAGATATGATATTATTCACTGACCCTTGGTTGCACGCGACTTCGGCTTTTTTAGATGAAGTTGTAGATCTTTTGACCGATTAATCCGCTTGCGGCTGAGGCCAATAGTGTTATTATATGACGACCAGTTTCAGGAAGATATGATATTAATCTCTGAGCCTCGGCCGCAAGCAACCTCGGCTTTCTTAGATAAAGTTGTAGATTCCTTGACTGATTAAGGCGAGGTTCCTTGCGGCTGAGGTGTTACAATATGATCACTCAGAAGTAATTTCAGGTTGATGTGATATTAACCACTGAGCCTCGGCCGCAAGCGACCTCGGCTTTTTTAGATAAAGTTGTAGATCTCTTGACTGATTAAGCTGAGGTTCCTTGCGGTCGATGTGTTACAAGATGATCACGATAATAGTGTCAGGTTGATATGATATTAATCACTGAGCCTCGGCCGCAAGCGACTTCGGCTTAATTTGTTAAATGATAAAATCGCGGCCAAGGTGTAACTAAAGCTATATGGCACAACATATGCTAAACATGAAAGGAGATTTAAATAATAAAAAAAAATCTACTTATTAAGAAGTAGAGCAATAACTGTCAAAATATATTGTGTACTTTGTAATAAAAACTTGTTTATATTTTTTCTATCTATTCATTTAGTAATTAAAGTAAAGAAAAAGCTTCATACATAATGACCTATTTTATCATGCGAATATTAAAGCTGTAAAATTAATAATAATAACGAAAACGTGTGAAGGAAGAAAATAAATATAAGAAAACGCTAATACTAAAATAGATTGTACCGTTTGTAGATTAGGGCATGATTGTCGACTGTAGCTTGACACTTGCTTGCGGTAATGTTGGACGTCAAATCAATGCGCGGAAATCCTGAGGTCAACTCCTGGCAAAATAAGAGCAACTACTCGGTTAAACCACCGCCTCACCACATGGCTACCCCAAATAGACACGGTAAATAATCTTTCAAAAAAAAGTTTTAATCCAATTTTACATAATCATAAAAATATAAATAACAATTTTTTTTTTTTAACTTTTTATAGGAAAAATTAGTCAAGACGACATATGTTACGTCGTCGCAAAATACGACTACACGGCCCAAAGTGGTCAGGAGCTCGATTTACGGAAAAACGAACGTTGCATCTTATTGGACGATTCCAAGCATTGGTGGAGAGTCCAAAATTCGAAAAACCAGTCCGGATATGTGCCCAGTAATTATGTTAAGAAAGAAAAACCGTCTTTATTCGATAGCATAAAGAAAAAAGTAAAAAAAGGTGGCTCCGGTTCGAAAACGTTGCCATCAAATAATTCTCCGTCAAGAACTATTGAATCTCCAAATATGGCCAGAAGACTACCCGCCGATCCAATGGAAGCTATCGGCGTTGCCGTTGTTAAATATAATTATCAAGCGCAACAACCCGATGAGTTATCATTGGTTAAAGGATCTAGAATACTCATTTTAGAAAAGAGTAATGATGGTAATTAAAAAATTTGTCTGTTAAGTGGATTTAATTATTAAATTAAGTTAAATAAGATGGCTAAACCTGAATTGCTTTTTCTAATGTTATTTCTAGTTTTAATTCAAAAATTAAATGATATTCTAAAAATTATTTAGGATGGTGGCGTGGACAAAGTGGAAATATGGTTGGATGGTTTCCTTCGAATTACACTCAAGAAGAAGGTGATGCTGATGATACTCTTCATACTTATGCAATGGCAGAAAACGTCCTCGATATAATGGTAGCTTTGTACTCATTTACTTCTACAAATGATCAGGAATTGTCTTTTGAAAAAGGAGATAGATTGGAAATTTTAGATCGACCTGCATCAGATCCAGAATGGTAAATATTAAAAATTTAAATAAAAAAAAACGAATTGTAAAATTAAAAATTAATTAGGTACAAAGCTAGGAACGCTCAGGGTCAAATCGGTTTGGTACCTCGTAATTACCTCCAAGAACTCTCTGAATATTTAACGCAACCATACCAAGAAAGGAGAGAACGGATCGAAACGAACGAGCGACAACCGGACGGCTTAATTGATCGACCTCATCTCGTTGGAAAACCGTGGTATTATGGAAATATCACCAGAAATCATTGCGATACCCTTCTTAATACTCATGGCCATGATGGAGATTTCTTAATTCGAGACAGCGAAACAAATGTAAATATATTTTACCTAATTCCATTATGAAATAGTATATTAAAAAACTAGTTTCGTAAGACACGCTTGAAATGCGTTAATTCAAGTTTAAAAACGAGTGGCGAAGCCACGAGTTTTTTAAAGAATGAGTGTTTAAGTCTTATGAAACGTGTTTTTTATGTTATTTTTTGTAATTCGCGTTTTTATACTTTTTTTTTAACAAAAATAAAATAAATTTTGACAATGTAGGGAAATAGGTATGTAGCAGTTGGTCTTGAAAATAGCAATTTGAATTGACAATTCGAAATTGTCAAAACACAAAATGTATTCACCTGAAAAAAATGTTTCATGTACACCTCCTGAAATAACAGAAATGTATTTTGCATTGAACAAAACTTACTTCCTGAATTTATTAATAATTTTCAATTTTACTAGGTATAAATTCTAATTCAAATTGTCACATTGACAACTAAAAAAATTAATGACCCAATGTCACCAACTTGAACTGGTTCCATAAAATGTTACTAAAATCTCATTACAGCATTGAATGCTGTAATGCTGTAACGAGTTTCATTACAGCACCCGTTTGAGTACTGTAATAGCTTTCATTACCGTCGCGAATTACAAAAATTAAATTTTACATGTTTTTCTGACGATATGTAACGTAACTTTTTTTATAATTAGTGATGTAGTGATTTCATTACTATTATAGCAATTCAAATAGCCACATTGACAACTAAAAAAATTAATGACCCCATGTCACCAACTTGAACTGGTTCCATAAAATGTTACTAAAATCTCATTACAGCATCAGATGCTGTAAGAAGTCTCATTACAGCACCCGTTTGAGTATTGTCTTTCTGACGTTATGTAACGTCACTTTGTTTATAACTAGTGGTGTAGTGATTTCTTTACATTACTACTATCCGTGCGTGAGGGGCGAAAAGGCCCCTCACTTTAGAGTGAGGCTAAAGTTATGCCTAAAGTCAGGCCTTGACTTTTTGCACGGATAGTAGTGATGTAATGAATTCCATTACATAACTACAAATTGACATCTGTCACTAATAGAATAAGTCAATTTTTCAACAAAAATTGCGTTTTCAATGGAATTAGATAAAATTTTGTACTTAACACGTTTTGAAATGGCAAATTTTGTTTGATGAACGTAATATTATCAAATTACGCGAGTCTCTTGTCATAACTGGTTACGTAAATAACTATTAATCAAAAAAAAAAAAAATTATTATATTTAACTTTGAATTTTTATTGATAGGTTGGGGATTATTCAGTTTCATTAAAAGCTCCTGGTCGTAACAAACACTTTCGAGTACACGTAGAAGGAGCCCTTTATTGTATTGGTCAACGGAAGTTTCACACGTTGGATCAACTGGTTGATCATTATCAACGAGCTCCGATTTACACCAACAAACAAGGCGAAAAGTTGTACTTAGTGCGGCCGTTACCCGGAAACGGATAACCACTTTCGCTTGAAAAATATGAAAATAATGAAAAAGAGGAGCTCGGAAAATTTTACGCACGCGATTTTAGTAAAATTGCAACGGAATTACACAACACTTCGGTGCGTATCGTGACAGCTTTTTAATTTTTTAAGTCAAAATTTTCGAATTTTCTTTTTTGTATTTTTGAGATTTTGAAAGAGTGTTGTTTTTGGTTGTTTTTTATTTTATAACTTGGACCGGCGCAGTTTTTTGGTAAGTACGAAGTGGATATATCGTAATCGTAAGAGTAATCGCTTTAGTACGCAAGGAAAAAAAAAGATATAATTCACGTATCGTAAGGATAATTTATAACTATGCATATAAAAAAATAAAATATACTCAAGTTTTTGTATATCGTCCCATATTTATTTCGTAAGAGAAAAAATAATAGATATTATTGTGTATATAGGAGTATGTAAAGGATATAAAATGTTTTTGTTTTAAAAAACCTTTCTTTTTTTTGTTTTTTTTTTGTTTCTAAATCAATTTTTGTTTCTTCTTTTATTATAAATTTTTATTTTATTTTTTCTGTCGAATCTTAAGACTGTACATAATTGACGAAGTTTGTATTTTTATTTTTTATTATTTTAATAAAACAAACGATTATAATTTTATTTCTTTTTATTTTTTTTTTAAGTTTAAATTTTTTTTATTATTTTTAATTTAAGTAATAAAATGTAGATTAGCGACTATAAGATTTAGATATATCCATATTCATAATTTCGCTGTTAATTGTACGAGCTTCTGCGGTATATCATAAAAAAATTGACGCAAATAAGAATTTAAAAGAAACCTATCAAGGCGCCAACTCTAGAAAAATGAACTTTTAGGGAATATATTATGAAAAACGGCTTACTTAAAGCTGAATATAACTACCAAAATTATTAATATAAGCAAGAAAAATTTAAAAAGCTAAAATGGTTCATAGTTAATATTAAAGAATATATTTTTGATTTACATTTTTATTTCCAATTTTTTTTAAAGCTACATCATATCAAAGTGTATCGCATTTTAATTCATGGTCTTTTAGTGTAATTAATGTTCGATAATTAACTATTTATGAAATAAAATTACAGGATTATTTAGAACAAACATTTTTTACCACTCTTTGATTAACAGTTGTCAACAGTATTTGTTGAACTGTTGGTGGTCGCGTGGTCTGCTCTTTAGTTTCACTTCCATCCACGTCCTCGTTTCTTTGGTACACAATTTGTGTTGGTTAGATTAAGTTAGTAAGTAATAAATTAGAATCAAACAGTTTCAGTACTTTGTAGGGGAGTTTATCTCCTTAGCATGCTCTGATTTCATCTCACATACACTTAAAGAAGTTCAAGTTCAGTTGACTGTTGCATCAAAATGTTTATAGTTTGTTCTGATTGATCCTGTCAAGATGACGCAAGTATAAAAAATTATATTTTAATATCAAAAATTACAAGATAACATTCCATTTTGTGTTATTAAAACTTACGTCTTCCAGTTTGAAACTTTTTTAATTGATTCTTACACTAAAAGTCCATTCAAAATATACTCGAAAAGCTAAACATTCTGCAATAGACTTCGCAACACGTACAATTTGTATAAATTTTTTATAAGCATAAACATAAAAGCCGTAAGATTAGGGAATGTTTTTTATACTGGTATGTATGTTATATACATAAACGTCTGTGTGGTTTTAGCATAGATTTTTTATTTTTAAATTGAAGAAAAATATTTTATTTTTAATTCCAATCAAGATTTATTTTAATAAAGATAATCTCCCAGATAAATAATTCTAGTCAATAAAGCGTTATATTTTTCAAAAAAATTCTTATTCAAAACTGTTTAAAATCTTTATTAGAATTAAAAAAAAATATATCTCCTCGTCATGTTTTAAAATCCCATCTTAATTTTTTTAACTAGTTTAATTTAATTTCTTTTCCTAGAATTAAATAATTAATGTATATAAAAAAATTAAACAAAAATACATTGTGTACTGTATTTCTCACGTACTAAACTGTTATATTTAAAAGGAATCATTAAATTAAATTTAACTGTCCAAATATAAATAATAGGCGAGAATATTTTTCTAAAGAAATGAAAGAAGAGGTTTCGCTGAAAAAACACGGAAAAAACGTTCTTAATTATTTTTTTCTTTAGTGATTAGTATAGTACACATAGATACTTCTATTATGTGCGTCGTAATAGTTTCGAAACATTTATATTTATCAAAATAATTATGATGACGTCGAAGAAAGAAGAAGGCTGCAAATTATCGGTTAGTGACAACAACAACAACAAAATTACAATTAATGTAGAGGATGTTTATTTTTTAATGCTTTCGATAAGAAGCTCTGTCCTTTTTAAATTATATACGACTTTAAAAAATGAGTATATTACATAAAAAAAAATTTTGTGTGACCGCCAACAAAACAATTTCTCAATATAATATATTAAATAAACTAAAAAAAACGTTTTAATGTTAACCGACCTTTCTCAACATCCCTGATAACATTTATGACCTTTACAAACATAACTCGACATGTCTTAGCTCTTCTGCGGTGATCTTCAATACAGTTTGTAGAAAGCACATATACAGTGAATCTTACTTTAAATGCAACATACAAAAACATTAATAATACATACATAAAATGCAACATGTCTGAATGTTTCTAGATCTAGTGTTAGTTCTAGTAACAATGGTAAGTAGCGTTAGTTAACATAAAATATCACTATGTTGCATATTTTTATTGAACTAGAACTAGAAACATTTTTGAAAAAGCCGTTTCCTCAGTTCTAGTTTGTTACATAAGTAGCTGCATTGTAAACTTAAATCAAATTAATTTGTTAAAATTTTAATATTGAGAAGAAATTTTGGTCTCTACTAAAAATTTCTTGTTTAAAATGATTTAATTACGTAAGGTTGGATTAAAACAAAATGTTATTTTAAATGTTTTATTAATGTAATACTATTTATCATAACAGTTAGTATATATGCTGAAACATTAGGTAGTATACATAATTTCTATATTAAATAAGCACCTGAGTTTAAAACAAGTTCCAACATAATAAAAGAAAATGATGATAGGTGCAAATACGAATGTTCTCTCCCACGAAAGTTGGAGGATTATAATCGGAGAGATTTATAATATTTATTAAATTGAAATAGCAGCAATACAAGATACCAGGATAAATATGTAAAAAATTATCTAACGATTTACACTTATAATTGCACGCAATTCTATTTAAACCCCTTTTATTTATTTTTTTTCTGTCTCAAATACGATAAATAAATGCTTAAATATGGACACTATACATTTTATTTTTTCCGGCTACGTCGTTTTTTTTTAATAAATACAAAACGACACTATCAAGTTAATAATAAGAATGTTATGGCTTATGACTAATGGATATAATAGGATGAAGTGTTGATAATCGTTAAGTTTTTAATAATTATCAAAAACTTAACGTTTTCCAGCACTGTAACGTCGTCTTACATTTAATAGTTAATTTTTTACTTCGAATATATAAAACTTACAAAACATACAAAATGTATGGCAACGGTATTGTATACATATATATATTTATAGAGATCTTAAATAGAAAAAGGTTTTAATATAGAAATGAATAAAGATTATTCGTTACGACATAATTATTATATTGGTTAGACGGTAAATACACAATATTATCGAAATAAATTAAAAAAAACGAATATTTTTATGTTTGATTATTTATAACTTGTTTACAACCCTGTGGAAAGTTTTTACGCTTTTTTCAGCTAATGAAATATAGAAAACTTTGATTTATAATTTTACAATAGAATTCAATTCCGTTTAAATATAAAAAAGGTTTTTTTTTCTAAAAAATTACAATCTACATAACCCATTTAATCATTAATTACATTAATAGTTACTTAAAAAGTATTTATTATACAAAAAAAGGTCAGCTTCGGCAGTCGAATCGCGACTTAGATCACATAGTCGCAATTTATTGGTACATCGATTAATTTAGTTATTTTCTGCCAAACAGCGTTTTCCCATAAGCACCATCATTTTTCCTTTCATCGTTTTCTAATCTAACCGCCCTATATTATTTATTATATCATTAATTATTTACAAGGAATTTCAATCAAACCAAATAACGCTTTTTAAAAAAAACCACCACCACCAAAAATCACCTCTAAAAAATTCCATTTTCTTTTCCTTTTTTTATAAAATGGCACGTTTTTGCTAATCACATCTTTTTTTCTTACAACCATTCGGCAGCTTTATTGGCAGTTTTAACAGATTTTGCAATCAGTACTTTGTTAAAGGTTTGAATTTGATTTATTTATTTAATTTATTAAATTTATGAAATTATTTATTAATAAAAAAAAATTAAAAACGTCGTCTCCCCACAAATTTATTAATATTATTTTTTTTAAATATGTTCCATCTGCGGATTTTAAAAATAATATCACAGCATAAAATACATTTATAAATTACCTACTCGTTTATTTTATTTTTTTTTAATAACATTTTTAATCCAATTTGATTTTTATAGTTACACGTTAATTCAAAAATTAACTTTTAATAAGAATACATTCCGAAATATTATCTCAACACACGCGGCATCAATGCATTTTTGGCGTACTCAAATGCGTTGATTCGCTACGTTTCGGAGGCGGTGGAGGTGGTCTTTTACCACGAACGAAATCATAAATTTTATCATTTCTAACATGTACCGGACTTGTTGCGTATTCAACTACGTTATCTGTACTATCTCTATAAACGTTTTCGTAAAAATTATTTGGTCCATAATGTTCTTGTACCCAGTTAGAAACGTTGGTCTCCTTATAATCAGGTAATAAAGTGGGGGGATCCCTAAATCCAAGTACTTCGTGTGGAGTTGTTGATGGTTCATCTTTGCATTTTTGCGCAACCTGCCATTTCTTTCTCATCACTCTTTGTAAATCTTTAAGGAAATCACTTGGTGGGTCGGCGAGTTTTTTTGGGCTGGATAATTTTGTACTATCCGATCGTTTAGGTGGGGGTGGTTTTTTTGGGAGAGCCGGAGCTTCTTGCGGGATTAAATTAAACGAGATTTTTTTACCACTTTTCTTTGGAGACGAAGGTTCTTGGAAGTTAACTTTTCTTTGTAAGCTTGGGGAATTTCTCGAAGAATTAAAATCACCCAAATACGAAGGAACTGAATACGTCGAATTCGATGAATTTGAACTGACATTAGAAGACATACTATTAACGGAAACTTGTCGCGGTAACGAAGTTTGTCTTAAAGACGACCTCAAACCATTACTATTACTAAAAGCTGATGATCCGGGTAATGTTGAACTTTGACGGTATGGAGGTGGATTAATATACGCTGGGGGATGACCGTTTTCGTTTAAAAACCCGTTATTGAAACTCTGTTGAGTTGGAGTGGTACACGTTGACCCCCCGGGACTAAAACACGGCGTATTTATCCTACTTTGAGTTGGAGTTTGATCTGGGGACATCCCAGCCGTGGGAGTCCTATCTGGACTCAACCCATTCGTTGGAGTACAATTTTCTTTTCTTCTCCTTATCGTTCCTGTATCACCATTTTCGCTTGGCGGTGGAGGCAAAGACATCAATGATAATTGACTTCCGGTTAATTCACCGCCAGTTAACGGTGGCAAATCGTTCGGATTTGGTGGTGGCGGTAAACTATCCAAAGATAACGTTGAATTAAATAATTCGGGAGGTGGTGGTGGTAATTGATAAGATGGTGATGTTATGATGGTGTCTTCATTTACTTCTGGTGGTGGTGGAAGAGAAATTATTGAATCAGTCTGAAAAATATAAAATTGTTTAATAAGTTATTAACAAATATAAATGTTGCATATATAGACAAGATAATCTTGAAGTACATATAAAAACCGAGAAAGTTCTAAGGAATAGTAAACTTGAAAGAAGAGTATCTGGTTCTCCAAATAGAAAGATATTGGAGGTAGATTTTGAGAGCGATTAAGGAGACTCTTGGATACAAAATTTATTATGTTTATATTTAAATATTAACCATTAGCTTTTATACCTGTAGTTCAAAATCATCTTTATAAATAATTAGTTATTTAAAAAGCGGTTAGTAATAAAATATTAATAACTACCATGCAATTATAACAGAAAGCACGAATATTAGAAAGTGTTAGTTATTGGATTTCCAATGCTTCAAAACCGGGGCGTTCGACGAAGCCAGTGTTAACTCAATAGAAGGTAAGCGGAACTTAAAAACAAGTAATAAAAGAAATTTAAGCATCTCTTAAAAAAAGAATCCCTTTAAAACTACAAATAATGATTAACTTACCATCGATGAAGGCATATCATCCATAGAATTCACGGGACTCCTAACCGAATTAGAACTCGGCGGTCTTTCATTAAACGGGCTGGGTTTGTCGCCGAAGGGCGAAGCTCTCTCCCTAACCGGCGTCCCGCAAAGAGGGGTTGATGTCCCGCTCCTGCTTCCCATCGACTCGATCGACCCCCTATTTTTGTAAGAATGCTGTCTTTTGAGCGTGCTACTGTTCGAATCGTCGCCCGAGTTGCTCGATTTCCTTCTTGTGTGTCTCCTCGTGAGGGTGCCTAGAAATTGAAATATATACGAAACCGGCTACTACTAATACTATTTCGGGTGCGACCGTATAAATATCTATCTCTTCGTTTTTATTGCTGGCCCGGTGCCAAAGTATGTCGAGTACGCGAATGGCAAGACATTGACACTAAAGCGGGAATACTATCAATTCACTTATATTTACTTGTATTTACCTGTGTTTGTGTAAGAAACTGGACTTCCGGCTGTCGGTGTACTATCGTTTTCATCTCGTGTTTCGCCCACTTCTTTTAATTGCCTCGTGGTGCTCGTTAATGGTAAACTTGGTTTCATCGATGGTTTTCTTTTAATTGTACCTTTAAATTAAAATTAAAAGAAATCATTAAATAAAATAATTAAGTTGCGATGTTGAAATTTACCTGTTGAAAATTCAGAATCAAAAGCATTTTCGCAACTTGATGGAGCACCATCTGACATGCAACCACTTGAACTAGAACTACTTGCCCTGCTGTGTCTTCCGGAACTAACCTCACTGGTTGTTGAATAAGTTTCGCTTTGTGTTCCATATCCATCACTGGCTGAATATCTGTTAATAAAAATTGAAATTATTTTAAATAAAATTAATAAATTAGTTTTGCATACCCTTGTGTTGGTGTTGTAACGGTCGATTGGACCGCAATGGAACTAACAGAACAACTCCTAGCGTTTGCCAATAAATCTAAATCCTCTTGAGCTAACTCTTCCACCAACAATCTATAATTATGCATTAATTGCCTTCCGTGTTTTGCGATGCGAATCCCAACCATCCATCTTTCCAAAGTAGTTTGATCCTCGGCGCATAAATATTTAATGTATTTCGAACTCTTAGCTTCTTGTAATTTTGGGTGTTTGATCGCGAATCCGTAATCAGTGGGGGCTTTAAATTTCTTTTTCCACCCCAATCCGTAATACACCTGGTTGTTTTCAAACGTAGCCAAGCAAACGAGATCTTTCGCGGATTTTGCTTTCTCTTTTTGGAAATAATACAAACCGGAAGCTCTTAAAACGAAGTGATATTTCTTCCAACCTTTTTTCGAATCAGATTTGAGGTAGAGCGGTCCCTCGACTTCTGGTACTTTATTCGACGAGAAGAACTCCTCGAGCATAATATTGCGGGAATGTTCGTCGTTATCGAGGTTTTCCCTCCTGTCCGAGTTGCTCAGAAGGAACCGTTCCGGTTGCATAAATAGAAACGTTTTTTCAGGACGTTCAACGAAATAAATTTTATTTTTTGAATCTCTCGCCCATAACATTAAATTTTCAACGAGGCGTTCGTGATCTTCATATATTCGTTCTTAATTTAAAAAAAATCATTAAATTAATTATTAATAAATAATAAAATTAAAGATGTAACTTACCCATAAATAAATCTGGGATATGTTCAACAATAGCCCATTTAGGATCCATCCTAACGTGATTCTTATCAGCTAAAAGCCTAGTAACGTAAGCGCATAACATCTTCTCGTCTACAAGAAGAGATTTTGCGGATCCATCCACTGTAAAAACTTTAACGAATAATTTCTGTATGTTGGCTTCCTTAATTTTTTCCATTGCCATTTTAATTTTTTCGGCCCTAACTTTGCTTGCTTCATCTTGAGGCAATTGAATCATGGGGTGCGGTTTTGATCCACTTCCTCCTGAGCTAGCTGAAGATTCGCTGGATAACATCGAAACTGTATCGCTAAAAGCCGAATCATTATCCGGCGAATCCGTTCTCCCCGAATCATTTTTCAAAGAATCACTTTCGTTTCCATCTAATTTTAATCGGGGGCCTTCAGATGATGTTCTGCTATGCGTTCGTGATTGATGTTGCGTTTTTTGCGAGTCTAATCATAAAGTTTTTTTAAATTTTTTATTTATAACTTAATAACGTTTTTTACCTGAGTAACGTTGTTCGCGGCCTTGCGATATTTCCTTATCGTATTGTGATCCAATAGCGTTCAATTCACCCAAAATTGAATCTAATTCGCTCATGTGAGTATCTTCTAGATTTGCCATTGAAAATCTGTAGCTGTCGATTCTTGGTGCTAAAATTTCTGTTGTTGGAGGACGAAGATTACTGGCTGAGCTCACCCCATCCAAACCCTAAAGTAAAATTAAATAACTAAATTAAATTAATGTTTCCTAATTAATATCATAAAATATTAAATTTTTCTTAATTATACAACTAAGCTATATTATCCGTGCTATTTCCTGTCGGGATAAAGTTGTTGCCATCAACTTCTTCGTCCCTTCAAGCTTTAAAGCGAAGATGCCGACGAATTTCCAAGAAGTCTACAACGACAATTTTGCGGTGTAGAAGCTGAAGGCGACGTTAAAACGAAAGAGAGCGATTTAAAAAGAAGTAAAACAATGACCACCGCCGTTTCTGCAGCCGCTTTGGCAATTAATAGCAATGACCAGTGCGTGATGGTACGCATTACAAGCGAATTAATAGAGCCGATTGTTTGATCCTCATGTACTAGGCGTTAATTGGATGTTGTAACTTTTTTAACGTTTTCGTTAACTTGATATTTATTTATACAGAGTTGTGTGAACTTAAACTATTTAATTGACCCAGTTTATAGACACCATCAATAAAAAAAACGATGGCAAAGATCCGCTATTTGACCTAAGTAACTCGTAGTTCATAAACCAGTTTCTTTTAAAGATCTTCGAGTTCGTGTCCGGTTTAAAAGTTTTACGTTTTATTTACGTGTCTCTCATTTTCCGCCTGCAATTGCTTTTAATTGTTTTTTTTATCCTCCGATTACAAAAGATGTCATTTTAATCGTTTATATCGTCCTAATTACACCGGGTTTATTCTCTTGAAACGTGTAACAACGTTTCTTCCATCGGCGATAACCATCGTCAACGTGATGAAATTTGTAAGAAGTGCAATTAAAAAAGGCAATAAATGTTATATAAAAGGTTTTAACCTTCAAGGTAAATATATGTGGAACGTTATGGCCTTGGGTATTGAACGTTTCCGTTCTTACTTTACATACTTTCATAAATTTTAATACAAAGTTAAGATCTAGATTTATGCTTTGTGTTACTATTAAATCACATCACAAAGAAAAAATTTAATCTTGAATTTGATATAACCTGTCAATGTGACAGTCTATCTGACAATCAGTGTAAAATAAGGCCATCTTGCAGAAAATTATAAAAACTGAATAAAATAATTATTTTAATACCTTAATGTTATTGTAAAAATAAATAGAAAAATTTATCGTATTTTAAGAAAATTGTGTGTTAATTGTTTAATTTATATCTATACGGAAAAAATTAAATTTATACATGTATAGTGTGAAGTTTGCAGTAAAGCACATCTAACAAAAAAATAAAGAAATGTAAAAAAATAATAAATAATTTATTTCAAAGATATTTAATTTGCATATTTGTTATTATTTTATTAAATTACTTAAATTTTTTAAAACTTTGATAATAATTAAAATTCTAGTTATATTTGAAGCGTTCTATTGACACTTTTGAGTTAGTTATTAGTTATTATATAAAATTAAATATCATATAATTCACTTATAAATATCAAAAACAAATTTAATTATAAATTATTAAACATTTATTTTATAATGATGGGTTTAAAATAAAATAAATTAATCAATCGAACTAATTCCCCAATATAACTGAACATAACCTATATCCTGTGACAATGACATTTAAGTTTTACAACAAGATTTATTTTTCGTGGTTTTTAGATTTAATTTTCTATGTATGTTTATAACCTTTCTAATCACATATATATGTATAAATTAATAATTTTATTGCAGATTTCATGAAATAATGGTGTGTAAGAAGAAATGTTTGGAATAAAAGAGGTGAGTTAAAGATAAAAAAGAGTTAAAATGTTCACTAAAATAAGACAAAAAAAATCCTATTTTTAAGGTTTAAAATATGAATTTACGAGAGTCATCCAACTAAGGATAGCTTTAGATTCCGTCTAGGTTCTAATTATAAAGACGTCGTGCCTTTTATAATGTTCTACATGAACATATCTAGATATGAGTGTGCAATTTATACAGAGAGGGTGAAAAATTCTTCACTTTATTTAACGACCTTTATTCAACTTTCTTTTTCTCAAACGCAAGCAAACTTCCTAGCAAGTCATAAAATATTTGATGGGAAAACAGTGGAGATACCTAATTATTGGACCTGGTGGTAAACGCGCCAAATGACAAACGGGTTCTTTTAAGCATCTTGAAGGCAAGAAGAAAACGATAATTCAAAAGGGTTTTTCTCTTCGCTTAGTGCCAGCAGACTTTTATAAGAACAGCAGTTGGGAATTAATTGGTGTTCTTGTGGTGGCGATTACCATGAGTTAAAAGGGAAAAACTTTCAAAAAAGTTTTGGCTCTTTCTCGTTGTTGTCGCATTGTTATTCTAATGTATTCGAGACGGTTCTATTTTCAAGCGAGTTTGCATTCCTTTTAAGTTTGTTGTCACGAAGAATTTTTTTTTTAAATGAAGTTGTTTAATGTAGTCAAGTAGATTATAAATTATAATATTTAGGTATAATTAACTTAGTTTACTTCATTAATTTTGTTCAATTAGTTTGGTATAATTCGATTAGTTTATTCGACCCTCGTCTAATTGTTAATTTCAGAGACATTTTGACATTAATTTTGGGTGTAACTTTGTGTGAACTTCGTGTCCCAAAATGTCTCCTAAAATATCTCTTTTTCGACGAAATCTCTTTTCATTTTGGAGTCGAGGGTTTTTGATGAAATTACAAGAACCCTCCACATCCGTTAATATCGATTACCCGAGAATTGCTGGTGAACGTGGCAATACCAGAACTATCCAACGTGTTAATTACTTTTTCATTAAACCCGAGCTCCGATTTAGTACTTTCATTTTGTAGGGGCGGCATAATCGCGCCAGGATGGAATCGTTTCAACTCGGGAAATTCCCGATTTCCTTTTGATAATCCCATAAAAGCTCAAAAGACATTTTTTCCGAATCATTAATATTAATGTAATAAATATTAATGGTAATGAAAGACATTGCGAGTTCTGTGCAAATTTAATTACTCAGTTTGCATGACAATCGTCGGTAAAACACAAAAGATAAAGATTGTCGCTGTAATGACGTTGAAATACCATCAAATTAAGGCTTGTCCCCAAAAGCTTTTCTTTGTTTTGTTGAAACTTCTAAAATTTAAAGGATATTATTAATCAATTATTGCAAAGCGTAAAGAAAACTTGATGGTGATGAAATTGGTGTGAAAATTTTCGTGGTAGACATAAACATAAGCATGAACATACTTTGTCGAAATAATAATAAACAACGGAAACAGTCAACAATTTAACCTTCTTAAAATCATCTTGGGAAAAATAAATTTGTCCCATATTTTAAGTAAAGAATTTATAAATATTTGTAATGTTAATCCATTTTGATCATTCAAAGGAAATGACAACGTAAATAAATTATAATATATTCGCTGACGATCACAAAAAAAACAGATCATCGCTCTATAAAACTAAACCTAGAACTAGAATCACTCGGATTGGGTTGTGTTAGTTCTTTAAGTTAATTTTAAGTTTAGCTAAACAAAATCAATAATCAGGAAAATGCGTGCATATCTGAGCTTATAATGCAAATGGGTTAATATAAATGATCTTTTTTAAAACAAAGTAATACAATTTACAAGATGAAACTAGCTACCGTCAACCGTAACAATAGTCTTAAATTTATCAAAGAGACGAGAACAGAGAAACGTTGCCAAAGTCTGTTTAAGCAAAGTGGGTGGAGCATTAAACTTGCTCGACCGAGTAACTTTATGGTACACAACGTTACGACCACGGATGGCAAAGATATTGTTTATACATAGCCGAGTACACGACCCATGACTATGTGTGTGTGTAATAATTTTGACCAAACTCGTTTGTTGGACATTATGCAAGAAGTTCTCTACGCCGTTACTATTTCGAAAACGAGATACACACAACCCCCGACTCGTATTCGATGAATATGTGTAGTAAAGTTTGGAAAGTTAAAACATTTACGATTTATTACGTAGTTTATTGACCGCATAACAAAGTTAAAATCGACTCGAATTCTATTTTTGAATATCGATTCGTCACATTTTCAGTAATAATAATTACCGATAAGATTTTATGGAAACCAAAGTGTTACCAAAATCAATTAGAAGTACTAAGAAACAATTAACTCATTACCGTTAAGTAATGAGTAAATTTGGCAATTAGAAGTAACTTAAAATACTCGATATGTTTATTTAATCGATCGTTAAAGAAGAATAACAACAGCAAAGAGAGAGAGTATTTACATCGAAAAGCGTGGGTAAATAAAAACCGTGAATTTCCCACCAAATCCGCTCACAACACAAAAATAAATCAACAAAACCAACTTCCCTTATTTACCTTAGTTCCAAATTTCCACGATTTAAACATTTTGCGTTCCAATCACACCAGCACAGTTTTAAAAAAACATCCACAATCACATTATTATTACTCCGAAAAATAAATCGAAATCAAAACTTTCAAGTACACTTTGAGTCCAAAACATCCCTCTCTCGAACGATAATGCAAGGGATGATTCGAGGGATGAATCGACGAATCGTTGATCTTTGGGAAGAGCCGATATTGGAAATTGAGTAGGAAAGATGTTAAGGTGAAGAGAGGAAATGCCGGCTTTAGGTTACGCGAAGCGTGTCGTACCCGCGTACGTTGTGACGTCATACTAACCCCTGGACGCTTGCCGACGCCGATCGTGTGCCGCAGGATTCAACCCCCACGAACGGGATTTCTCACTCTATCCCATCCAACAAACCCTCGTTTCATCTCTCTCGTTCATTCCGCCAGTAGCAAACCGTTTCATTCGCTAACCCCACTACACAGAGATGGGACTAAATTTTAGTAAAAACCACGTGAAATAAACAAACCGAGAAATTTTTATACATTTATTTATAAATTTTAATTTATTTAAATTCTTATTGTAATTAGTAACTCTAATACTAGCTGGTTAAGGTGGAGGAGCCGGAATAGTATGACATTTAACCTCAAACAAGTTCCAAACACAACAAGAAGGAACGCTGGATCGAACTTTAGTAATTATTTACTTGGATGACAACGTTCAAATTAAGCAACAATGTGCAAATAGCGAATGAGACAACTATCAAAGTATATCAAAACATGCCTGAAAAGAAATAATGTTTTACTTGTCAACTTTAATAATTTTTTCTTATTTTGGATTTTATATTTCTAATTAAATAAGATGATAAATTCGTTATATAATAAATAGGTCAAGAATAAAAGATTATATTAATTAAATTTAATATAAAAATGAATCAATGCCATAAATATAACCACAAGGAATTGCATGTCGCTTCTCATATTTCCCGCAGGAAAAGAAAATGAAAAAAATAATTTCATAACGTAAAGAAGGTCGTTAAGGATTATGGACGTCTAAAAAGACACACCGTAATCCAACCAACCCACTTCCCTCCCAAGGGATTCTTCTTGTGTCCCACTTCTCCAATTAAACACGATAAGATCCAAGATGCTTACAATAGCAGAAACGAAAATGAGAACGTTATTTTTTTTATTGCCACGCTCGTAAAAGAAGGTAAAAGGAGGTTTATGCGGTCCGATATTTCTCTTTGGAAGGGTACCGGGAGCGGCTTCGTTGACGAGAACGTTTCTTGCATACGAAAAGGGTTAATTGTGGTCATTGAGGAGGCAGTCAGTCGATTCACTACCGACTTCCGGTCTGCTCGACGGGAAAAACAGTGGCATCCGGTTCGGCATGGTAATTATTATAGGCGTGAATTGTTTATAGAGATTGAGTATACAAAAACATATATAAAATAAAAAGAATTTTGCTTTTAGCTTTCATTACCATGGAATGTGACTGCACGCGACCTAGCATGACACCGAGGCAGTCGCCCCAACTAACTCAATTAATTACGGTATTGTCTGATGGATGACACGTGACCTTACTCGTTAGAGTCACTACCCTTAGGAATTAATGGTTTTGTAAGGTCGCAATATATCCCCCATAAGCTCCATCTGTCTCGTTCCGAAACTTTAACAATAACCGCAATCAATCATATATTTCTTTTCTTTTTTTTAATTTAAAGAGCAAAATTAGTTAATTTTTTTTACCTCCCGAAAAAGGGGACGAAGAGGATGAGGAAGAAAATAAACATACCATAATAGATATCATAAAACAACTAAAGAGATTATAACATTCCAATTGCATTAGTTTTGATAGACAGTAACTCTATAAATGGATATTTTCACTTTGCTCTTTGGATCTGTGGGACTTTTGCCATCGAAGCGACGGTTTGGAACGGTTACGCGACTATCGCGTTTTATTTTTCAAACTAACTTCCTATTAACTTTCTCTCACAAAAGCTGCGATTGCAAGACCGGAATACAAAAGCGATTTGTATCGCATCGGGTTTCAAATCGAAAGAGGGGTTCCTTGTACTTCTATCGAGAGTTCTTCGAAGTGTGGAGAATAAGATGAAAATCGATAATTCTGGATTCATTTTATTGAATTTTTAATTTTTTTATTGAAATTTTAAAGTTATATCATCACAAACTTATACAATTTTCAAAACTTTTATTTTTACTGATTGTTATGAAACGGACTCAAACTTTTAACGACCGATAAAACCGGCAGGGAATTCAACTTAAACAAGGATAAATTGCTGTGTCCTATCTTTACGCTTGGATATAACACCCGTTATATGTATTGCTATACATCTCCAAGACATTGATAAAGTTTCACGCTGCGCACTGTTACCAGAAGTACATCAGGGTGTCGTACGCGTTATTAATAATATTACAATACCA